TTAGCACTCTTTTCTTTATAACGAGTATATTGTGCTTTGGAGGATTCTCATATGTACATGTTCTTCCATCTTTTCTTAGGTCATAAAGTCGGTCTGTTTTCTGTGCATTGGTTTCCTGTGGTTTTAGGTTTGACAAAATTTTTATCTTGGAAGCACGGTTTACATTTCTAATCAAGTGTTTTATGCAGGAGTTGATCCATTCAATGCTTTTGCGTAGGTTTCACATAAAAGACCATCATTTCCCTTCAGCAAGAAATTATAGCTCTTTTTTTGTCTAATTTTACGAGTCATGACCAGTATAATTATGTAGGTCGGAAAATTAACTTTCATGCAATGTCCATGCTTAAATCCCGATATAAGATCTCTGATTAAGTGTCGAATTCTGTAAGCCCTTTTCTTTTCTTTACAGTAGCCACGGGCAGAGAACACGTGCACCTGCAACCGGTGCAGCAAACATCGGTGGTCTTACTTCACATGCCTTAACTTCCAGATAGGCAAAAAACAAGTAAGCATATAAATGTGGTAAGCTAAGGTTAAACGGGGTTAAAAGCTGAGGTCAAAGGCTGAGGTTTTCCTTGGGGAATCTATTCTGATATTCATTCACCAATCACAACACCGGAAATTGCTTACATCGTGGCATTAACATTACAACCAATCAGAGGTTTTCCCCCACATTCCGGGAAACGGAACACGATTAACGACAGCGATTCAAAGACGTCTCCCTCCCCCATTTTTTTTTTGAGGGGAAGGGGCGTCTGTGCACATTCTATAGGTGGTTTTCATGCAATCTCGGGAGACACAAATAACAATGGTGAAATGAACAAATGCTGGTGGACAAACAAAGCAAACTAATGAGCGATCTTTTGTTTGCCGTCCACCAGCATGGCGGCGATGACGTAACGTGAAAACCACCTATACCTTAGGTTAAGAGTTCAACCAAACTTGCGCTTAGCTGTGTTTTTCACCAAACACTGTCTAATTCTTTGCATGTTTTGCATAGATCAGACGCCTACAGTGTCAGCCGATAGCCAAAACTTAAATTCTGCAGAAATAGAAAATACAGTCTTCATTACTAGCTTATTGTTAGGACACCAATTCCAACGTATCCGCCTTCCCAATGAGTAAAATGAGGTTTTGCAACACACGTTTTTTTAACATTATCCTTTGCCCAAAGGGCTGTGAAAGTGTCACGCAAGCTTACCTTTGTTTTATGGCCACGCCGCTCCTAACACTGAAGCAAGCTTTTTTAAAAAATTCACGGAGAACTCGACCTTCGATTTGCACGTGAAAACTCGAATTCCTCGAGTTCATCTAGATAAGGCTCTTTGGTCAGCGGGTAGACGACAGCTTCCCTAGGTACGTGGTGTATGGGTAGTGTGACGGGGCCAAGCGCCCAAGCGCGCGAGGGAGGAGGACACGCACGAGAAGAGAGGAAGCTTCTGGCGTATATAATATTTTCTTAGCCTGCTAAGCGGGCTACTTTACTCTCTATTATCGAAACCCCATAATACACACTGAGTGACCCCCAAATGTTACAGCCGGTCTAGAAAATCGACAGAGGAAGTGAAACCTCGAAGGCTATCAAAGCTAAAGTGCTTCCCACACTGAGACTAGGGTGCAGGGTCTCTTGGGGTCTCTTGCCACCCTTTATTGCATGATACCTTCAAAAGCTCTCAAAAATATCATACAAAATATCACTTCCAAGCCTCTCAACGCATATATTATATTCATACTTTTAAATAATGAGTCATGTTCTGTACGCGACAGTTGAAATCCACGCTATGCACACGAGAGAAGAGGACACGCGCTACTTTTTAAGGGAAAAGCCCTGGGGACGAGGTTGAGAGAGGGCGGCTTCGTTCAGTTCACTACTAGGCCATTTGCTCGATGGCGTCATTTTACTACTACGACCAGAATCCTTTCCGTTTTTCCTTTCAATTTTAAATTTGGTAATCCCAGAAAGGATTAAATAACAAAGCCCGTAATTTGCACAAGAAAGTAAAACCGTGAAGGATTCTGTTCAAGCAGCCAGTAGACCTCAGGAAACCAGGGGAATCACTACAAGTACACCTTTTTAATACTAGAAGTCTTATTTCTTTTTCTGCAAATTACATTTTTAACTATTAAAATATTTCCCGATTCAATCTTTGTTAAAATGTTATATACAATTTTGTAAGGCAAAGATTATATAATGATACATTTTCTTAAGTCTCATTTGAATTTTAAATAGTCCTTTTCCGTATATCTACTTACCGCTGAATTCAAACACCACTGGCACATTGATACAGGATTGGTCTTGAATTAAACTGGGTTATGTTCACACTAAACAGGAAAGCTTAATGCTGCGTTCTGATTGGTTGAACTACTTCTAGGCTATATGTTATGGCCCACTAATAGAAAAGCGCCGGATTTGAAAACCAAAACAATGACGGTTGAATCGCGTTTTACTAACGTAAGTTGTTTTGTTTCGATATTTTCGACCAACTAGTTGGATTTTACTAAACCAATTATTCCACGAGCCCGAATGGGCTCTGAGTTAATAGCCCATGAGGGCGAGAGGAATAATTGTTAAATACCGGCAGGAAGGTGCCTGAAATTTGAAAATACACAATAGATAGAGTTGTAGACACGCCTTCGTCTCGCTAGAATTTGTAAACATCTTCACTTCAGATGGAGGCTAATCCCGTAAATCTTAATATGCGTCTTCAGTGCTTTTATTCAGCGGTCAAGGCGAACTTGAAACTGGACTATTAAACGGCATTATAAACACAGGTGCAAAAACACAACTTCAAAATACTTGATATTATGTTATCGATCAAAAGGAACTTTTACAAATCTGAAATTAGGATTCGCATCTACGCAACTACTGCTCATTGCTACGGGTTCACCCGTAAAAGGTTTTCCCTTTAAGACGGTACGAGAAAAGGAAACCAATGTAACTACTCTTGCAAAAAAGACTAACGTTACGCAGACGTCACTTTTTCCTTGTCCCACAGACCCTGTTCCAGGTGTTCAGATCGTGGGGACGGCGAAAAGAAATGTGAGCAAAATAGAAAGGGGGGAGGGTAGGGTAGGGGGTGGGAGCGAGCGAGGGAACCCGTTCCCTCCTCTCTCCCTCCTTATTTTTTTCCCGCTCTCTTACTTCGCGCCACACTCCACATCCGAACGCCTGGAACAGGCTGTGTCCCAGAAAGAAAATAAGAGAAGTTTGCATGCGCATGCGGTCTAATGGAGGAGCAGGTCAGTGAGGTGGTACAGAAGGTGATTGGGCCATTTATACGAGGAAAAATACGACGCGTCCTAAATAAGACGCAACCTACCTCGTATAAACGGCACATTAGGACGCGACTTAGCTAAGACGCGTCTTATGGAAGAACAGGTGTTAGGGGCTGCTCTTAGATAAGACGTGTCTCAGCTAAATTTCAAACGAAATGTGCCGTTTACACGAGATAGTTTGCTTCTTATTTAGAATGCATCTTGTGTTTGACGGGTGCTATTTTTCTCCGTATAAACGGCCTAATTATTACGAGTAATAACTTACTGTTCCACTTCAGTGCCGACAATAACGACTTGCTGGTTCTAAAACAATGCAAAGGTATGCACAATCGAACAATAACCTCACTCCTCAGCTTTCTTAAAACCAATGAGCTCGCGCAAAGGCCTCGGAGCTTAGGCATTATGCTGCAATAACCACAAAAAAGCAAGACTGACATTTAAACATGAAAGAGAAACGAGTGTCACATAGATGCGCGAAACGCGACTAAGCTAGGACACGTCTTATATGTTCGTATGAAAGGAACAGTTCGCCTGTTATTTAGGACGCGTCTCATTTATCCTCGTGTAAATGGTACTGACAATTGTTTCTCAAACACTTAAGAACTTGTAATAGGCACAACACATTTAGAAAAAAAAAAAGTAAAATGCATATGCAGAAGTATTAATCTGCTTATTAACGTCATTCGTATACATTGTACTCACTATCTGTCTTCTCACTGGCTAAAAGCCTACAGCTAATTTTGGAAACCAGCGCAAACTACTGATTAGCTAGTTATCTGCTAGCAGATAACTGACTTATCTGTAGGTTGCGCGCGCAATTCATGATTTCCAATTACAATATCAATTCAGGTTCCTTGTGACGGTGTGTTTGTCGTTATTTTCTTCAAAACAATGTATAATAAAACAATTACTAGAATATTAAATAATCAAGGTCTCGGTAAGCGTTATCAGCCCCGGCCTTCGGCACTTACCTCGACCTTGATTATCCCGGATATCACAAAGACCTCATCCAATAATTGTTAATTATTTGCTCTTAACGATCTGTGCCGTTTGTTGTTGTTGGCTTCGTATTGGTTAAGTCCCTACACTGGGTCGTATGCCAGAAACTAAAGGCTCCGTCCAAACGTATCCGCTTTTTCTGAAAAATGATTTTTTGAAGGATTCGCCTTTCGTCCACAAGCTTAGGTAGCTTTTTTTTGAGCTTGCCAATTCAGTTTACGACTTAATCAGTAGCCGGGGCTTCTTTCACGACCGAGCGCCGGTCTTGAAAATCGACGCATTTAAAGGTGTCGACACTGAGAGGGCCACAGGTGAAACCTCAGAGGCCCTGACTTTAACCTGCGTAGCAGGCACCGGTTTTTTTTTAAGGGCGAAGGAAGAACAACAACAACAAAAATAACCGGCCGGCGCCTGCTACGCAGGTTACTCTAACTAACACCAGCACGTTTAGTTCTCTAAACATTTGTTTTAGAGGAAGGGAGGGAGCATTAACGGACGAATCAAGACAATTTTGTATTAAAACATCCTCTTTAAAACAGAAAAGGTAAAGTGTGTATCTACAAGAAGGATTGGAAAAGGATATTTGTGGAAGCGAATTCGTTTGTAAACGGGACAAAAATGCTTTAAAATAACAGATACGTGTGGACGGGGGCCTTCATTTAAGCCCAATCAGAATAAATAAATATGCAGGATAAGATATGGCTAAGACGAATTAGCAGTCTCTTTTACGTATTACCCGAAGAGGACGAAGTTCTGGGTTGACCTGGTACTCCTGTGCTCCCATTTCGTGGCCTGACTGGTTTTGGTTTTACCACTGGTGGTGCTTTACCTCCACTGGTACTCCTGTCTCTTCCGTTGCCAAGGGTAACGTTTTGTTTTTCCTCAAGTAAAACCTCTGGGGGAGGTGGTGGAAGCTCGACATCTGCATCCTCTTGAGAGTCCCCTGAGGGAGGGGGCGGGGGCATTTCCTCCATAGAAGTCGACAAGAGCCGCGACGTAGGCGCTGAGAGTGAGTCGACAAACACTTCATGGTCTGACGTTTGTGAGGTGGGTCGCGGGAACGCATTAGCTGAATCCGACAGCTGAGATGAGGTTCTGGGCGTTGCTGATTTAGGAGGGACGGGAGGGGGAGTGGATGAAGAGCTTTTTGAAGGACCCGGTGATTGCGGAGAAGTGCTGCTATCTTGTTCATGATTGACTGCCGCATTGTCTTTGCCACTCGGTTTGCGATGAGAAGGTAACGGAGGGGGAAGAGGAGGAGGAGGAGGCGGCGGCGGAGGCGGTTGGGCAAGTACTTTGGGAGGAGAGGGCGGAGGTTTTTGTGCAGGTTCTGTGGGAGTGGAGGGTGGAGGTTTTTGTGCAGGTTCTGAGGGAGAGGAGGGTGGAGGTTTTTGTGCACGATCTGTGGGAGGGGAGGGTGGTGGGGGTGGGGGTGACTCCGCTCGGGTCTTTCTGGATCGTTTCGATGAACTTCTGCTACTCCTTTCACCATTCCGTTCCTTTTCTTGTTCCTCGTTGACTTTATCAGTCGGTTGGGTTGGCTCCTCTTGTTGCTTCTTGGAGAATGACTTGCGAGGGGGTGGAGGTGGGTCAAGCACCAGTGTGGATTGTGACTCAAACTGTACCTGTTCTACCTGTTCGGTGGTCGGGCTGTCGTCCTCTTTTTCTTCGTCTACAGTCTGCATACCGATGTTCTCAATGTTGAAAGTTCTGTTGTCTAGTGTGTTGGGCGTATCACCTCCTGTGCTGTGCACTGAGGGCGGGTCTGGTGAAATGGGTGGTCCAGCCGTACTCTGGAAATAAATAAAAAAAATCATTGGTATTTGCGTAGGTGACTTCTTACTGTGAAACACCAGAAATATTTATGGCATGTTATTGTGTTGCGAGGAATTGCGAGTGTTGCGAGAAAACTAAACCGCAAACGACAACGATAATAGGCCATTTCCGAGTTCCCCGAGGCCTCTGTTTCAAAACGAGGGTAGGTGCTCAGCCTTTGATATGGAAATCATTTTTCATTCTCATGCAAATAAATCTCATTTTCACAAGAATAGTTGTGCACCTAGCCTCATTTTGAAAGTGAGGGTTTTTGGAACTCGGAAGTGGCCGATTAGTTTGTGGATTTGTAGTTTGCTTGCGTGTCCTGAACTTTTGGCCGGTACACAATTAACATTCCTGAAATTTTTCAGGTGTTCACAGTTTTCGGAGTTTGACAGCAATAGAGAGTGAACACTTTAACAGAGGGTCGATTAATAGGGGTTTGACCGTACGTCAGCGATCCTATCGAAAATTACAGTGCCTGGAGAAATCTGTAGCTCTACAGTTTTTGTACAACAGGGCCGGTTGTTCGAAGGCCGATTAGCGCTTAACCTGGGGTTACATTTAACCCGGGTTTCCGTTACTTTTAGAGCTTCCAATCGTCAATTTGTAGACCAAAAGAATTAAGACTGAACAGCTTTTTAAGCTTTCAAATCTGAATTCAAATCTCGCACTAACCCTGGGTTATCTTAACCCAGCTTTGAACAACTCGGCCCAGGAGTGTTTATCCCGAATGCTTATCTTCATCAATACGCCTGTCGCAGTTAGAGATGCTGTTTGGTAATGCAATGTAATGCAAAATGGATTATCCGCACCAAAATATGTTCTTTTTTGTCAATGTTGGGTTGTCTCTTTCAAAACATACATGTATAAATTGACATCAATGGAACATACCATTTTTTCGATCACGGTGCCTTTCTTCCAAGCATCAGAGAACAGATTGCCAATTTTCTTGGAGGGTTTCTTGGCTTGAACTTTACTTTTGTTTACTGAGAAGCTCATGGTACCTGTAAGAACACAAGCGCATTCACATTCACAAACTCACAAAAAAAAAATTCCCAACGTTTTGGAACATTTACAGTTCCTTTACTGAATATAAGCTAAGATCGGTAGCTTTTATGGCGTTATCTTTATAAATGGGATGACTTCACCAGTATATACTTTTGTAAGGTCTGTAAGGTTTCACAAATGCTGCATATGGTTCTAACGTTCAAGTATGTGGGCAAAATTTCTTACGTGACCATTCAAATGAAACCTCTCCAGCAGTACTTTAACATGGTGCTGTAATTATTTTAGTACGTAGGTCTAAATTTTGAGTCTGTCAGTGAAATCCTTTGGTGTCACATTCAATTAAAACCTCTTCAGAAGTACTCTCGCTTTTTAATTTCTACATGTTATGCAGTTTAGTTATAGTTAAGTCTGTGGATGAAACCCTATTGCGTGACCATTCAAATGAAACATTGCGTGACAATTATATTTGAATGAAACCTCTTCGGCACTACTTTCACAATTAAGTATGTAGTTCAAACTAAGTCATGAATGAATTTCCTGAACCCCTGTCACTGGAGGCCTGCAACACATCCTTGTGGGAGTACTGCTAATTAAAGCGATATGACAACAAATAATAAAGCGAACTTCCTTGGTGCTTACGGTCACTTACCGCTGGGGTGTACAGACGATAAACCAACAGAGTCCTTTATTCTCTCAGACTGAGATTTGGCTTTCAGTGTCTGATAGTCTTTCGGCGGCTCTACCTACAATCATGAGGAGTAAATCCATTTCAGATTGACCTATCCAGGATGGCCACCATGGCCGGGGAACAGAGGTCAGTGGGTGTGGCCAAAGAGGTTAAAATGAGACACATGTAATGACCAAGGTTGTTCGGTTTCGATGGCTGGGTATTGGGCATTTATGGGTTAATTTATTTTTCTGGATTTTTATGGCCCGGAAGGAAGTCGAGGTCGAAAAAAAAAAAAAAAAAAAAAAAAAAAAAAAAAAATAAAAAAACACTAGGCCAGATCGAACAAGTCTTGAACTTTTGACTTGCAGTACCCTGTACTTTTTTGTGATTGGCTAAAACCTTTGGCGGTACTATCTCAGACAATTAGTGTGAAGTCACTTTTCCGTGTTTGGCCTCCTAACACATTCTCAAAATATTTCCCCCACCGTGCTGCAATCACTATATGGAATGATCATGGTTTGGTAACCGCATGCACTTGAGTAACGCCAAAAATTCAACAGCAAAACATTTGTATCAAATAAAATAGTCTACGTAGCGGGTGTTTCTAAACGAATGAATAGCTTTTAAAACTGTGTAAAGAATCCCCGGGAAAGGATAAAACATTGAAAGTAGAGGCAGTCTTCTCACAAAAATTTCTTTGCGAAAAAAAGTCCATCGCTGGTTTGCTCTGCTCGTGTTCATTTGCTTTCATTTCATGCAAACTTTTCTGGTAACTCATTTATATCGGTCTATGCAACATGAAGCGATCCGATGACGCCATGTTTTGTCATTTGAGAGGAAAGAGTCAAAACTGACTTCAAAACGTATAGCTTTTGAGATTTCAAACCAACCTGTGTCTTATTAGTTGGGGATTCCACATTTTCTCCTGCACTGAAACTCGATGCCCTTGTGAAAGTGACTCTGTCCAATGAGAAGGCGAGTTTGTCCATCTCTTCTTGTGTGTCAGTATAATCCAGCAACATTTTATACCCAAACTGAAGAAACATGGTAAAATAACACAACAATATTAACATCGTAAGATTGAAAAAAAGTGTAAAAAGTAAAAATGTGTCTTGCCCACTCATTTTGAAAGTAACCAAAGCGTAACCAGGTTACTTAGTTACCTACCTTGGCAAGTCTAATGCCTACTACCCAGCGCTGCATTGTTTTCACATCTTCTGCACAAAAACATCGCACCGCTTTGGAGTCAAGGTCATGAAACTGAGGATGCTGAAGAGAAAAATAGACATTTTGATACATAGAAAGCAAAACTGTCGGTTTCTTTCTAAAAATAAGTAAAGAAATCGGTAAAGCGCGGCGTAATCGGTAAAGTGTGGCGTAAGAGTCTTACGCGCGCGAGCCGAGAAGAGTATTTCTAGTGTCTCTCCGCAGTCTCGCTGTCTGTTTTCAGCCTCGTTCCAGACCTTTTGTTTGGCTGCTCGCGCGTACTTGAATACGCAAAAATACGGACTGTTTTGCAGTCTGTAAATGAAACCTCCAAGGGTACTCTTCTTTCTTTTCAAATTCATAGACACCAAACACCATAAATCCGAAATAAACCTAGCCTGTACACAGACGTTGTTATATATTTCTTTTCGGTTTATTTTTTATCACGCGCGCTCGACGGACTTTGAAAAGAAAATAGATCTGAAGTACCTATTGGCTGTGTGTAGACAGCCACATAAAAGGCGCTCCTATCTTCTACGGCTAGAGGAGTAAGGAGCCAGGGTCAATCGCGGTCGAAAGAGTTCAGGACCCAGTTGTTCAAAAGGTGGGTAACGCTATCCATCGGATAAATCACTATCCATTGGATGGCGTAATTGATTTCCTTAATACTTATCCGCTGGATAGCGCTATCCATCTTTTGAACAACCGCGGCCAGATCGAGGAAACGACGTTGTGAAAGTGGAAATGATCATTGCGGTTGAATAAGCAACCTAAGCGGCTGAAAAAGAACCTGAAAAATCAGGGTACACCATAGGGTATCAACATTACGAACTCACAATTGCCTGCTCTCCAGTTGGCTTGAGTAGCTTAATTAATAGAAAGAGCGTTGCATCCATGCATCGCAAAGGTAAGGGTTCGATTCATGGTCAAGTCTGAATTTTTTTCAGGTTCTTTTTCAACCGCTTAGATTGTCTATTCAACTGCGAGGATCATATCCACTCTCATATCTTTATCCGCAGTTCAAAATATGGGTCTCTTCATACTGATATTTACATTCGAACGAGGTTGCTAACACAATTGTCAATCTCATAAAGAAGAGCGCGAAGATCCCATATCAAGTGAAAAGGCTACTGACGACCGATTTCGATCTTGATTTGTGAATGCTTTAACTTTCGCCCACTAGCTGGGATTCTATAAACTTGTTTTGTTTTCGTTTATTTGAATTATTTATATCATTTTTTTCAGTAAGCCTAGTAACCTTACTGAGTGTTAAAGTAACCTTGCTGAGTGTTAAAGTAGATGTAAAAAGATGGATTACTACTACTTACAATACTGATGCACAAACAGCAGTTCAGTGAATCGCAAAACGCGACAGATAAAACTAACTGAAGGGTTTTATAGAATAACAAGTCGAAGACTGTTCAATTTATGCTAGATATAAATAATTTGTTGTGCTTTCGTGCATCTCAGTATACAAGAATCATGTACCTTCAATACAAAGCAGTGATCTGTTGGAGCTTTAAGCTTCTTCTTGAATCCAACGCCATTGTAAATGGATACATGTTCAAACTTCATCAAACAAACAATATCTCGTGAAGACTACGGAGAGGAAAGAGAAGTACTTCATTACCAAAATGTGGCTGATAACAATAGGGCGTTTACACTCACATGGGCCGATTGACCTGCACCCATCCAAACCTCTTATTTCACTGGTCCCTATAGAGCTGTTTTCACTTGACTGTCGTAAAACCAAAACCAAAGTAAATACACTAGCCAACCAAAGGGCGTAGTAAAACCAAAACCAAAACCAAAACCAATCCCTTTCGACAGTCAAGTGAAAACCGCTCTAACCTGCAATACCTAATATTTTCAGGGATAAGGGCATTGTTATGTCACCATCCCTATTGTTCTCCCAGCCAGTTGCAAATCTTGTTTGGACAGCATATACGCAAATTCTTTTGGAACAAAAGAAAGCGTTTACATAAAAAAAAATAGTTCACATCCCACAGAATTTGTTTGGAACACCAACATGATTTTGAAGGAGGTTCAGCGATCTCCCTATCGCAAAATGATTAAACTTCTACCATAATTTATTAGAACTTATTTCCGCCACGGCGACATTCTCACTGATTCTCGTGTAGTAAAATTACTAATGACGACGGCTACCACGTTTCCCGCCAAAATGACGCTGTCTCACGCGCGCGCAGTACCAAGTATAGAGAAAATCTCGTCCTCGTAGTCGTCCTCGTCTTAGAATCTAAAGGTCTATTACATGAACCGTTTAAGCCCTAAGAGGGATCAGCGTCAACTTTCTCCTTGTAATATCAATGCTTGGTAAAACAGAGTCGTCATGAGGATTAAGGACATGATCACACAAGATGAATTTGCTTGATATTTTATCCACTTCTCCCCACTACTTCTCTAGGAAATGAATAGGGGCAAAAAATGAGAATTCAAATTTTGATCTTAGGATTTAAAGGGTTAAAGCCTCGAGCGAACTCTATAAGACACTGTAAGCGTCATGGGTGCGCTTTGCTCTTGCCAATTACCTTGGTTTTTCCTTTAGGTGTGTAATAGATGCCAGAAGCTCTCAGCACAAAATAATGCTTTTTCCACGACTTTTTCCCTTCCTTAAGATATAATGACCCATCCAGTTCAGGCAGCCTCGTGGAATCTTTTTGAAAGCACTCCTATACCAAAGACAAGAGATACAAGACGTAAAACAAAAGTTTAACTTTACAACTGAGGCTACGTCCCTTTGACGATACAGATGGAGTTTTTTTTTCCTGTAAATTTTTCTGATTATTTTCTATGATTTTTGTATGATGACTTTTCCAGGATAACCTCACTATATACAGCTATTTCGGAAAAGGTTGTCGGAAAAAGTGTACGCGACAATCCCGAAAGGTATGGTGCGTGGTTTTGAGTGCACTGTTCTTCAGAGAAATTTGCACAGATTTTCTCTCTCTCTGCCTCGTTTTTGTTTTGAGCCCAGCTCATGCCAATATTTTGGCTGAAAAATAATTACAATGTACCTGTAGCAAGATGTCTTTACTTTTCTCTGCTAATTGTGCTGCACCAATTGATGTATCACTACTCAAGAGAAAATTCTGCAAGGGAACAAAGAATCGACATAAGCTTCCAGAATAGCATAACCAAAATTAAAAAAGGGCTACATGTAAATGTTGCACCGATTATATGGGCCAGGCAGGCTCGTTTAACGGAAATGACTTTCAGCCGAACATTAACCAGCAACCTGAAAGAGGAGACTTTCTTCAACTCGGTCGATTTTGGTATACTCGAGAAAGACTCTGCATGAATCAAGATCTTTGTTGCGCGCTGCATGTTGCTTGGATACAGTTTCGATCACAGGCCTAATAGCCATGCGCGCTTGGTATAGTGGGTCTAGTTATGACCATCGCTCTATCAATAAACAGGCGCTGGCGCTCGAAAAACCAACCAGAGAAAACAATATTGACTAGTCCAGAAGTATGGGCTCCGGCGATTTCAAAGGCTTGACGTGATTCAGGCAGAACATTCTTATCTCCTCCTCCATCGAAAGAAAACAAAAGAAGACTCTGCTCGCAGGGACCGGCTTCACGGGTTAACCCTTTAAGCCACCAACAGTGACCTACATCCAATTTCTCTCAAAAACAACACTGCCTGATCAAACAGACAGGTCATGAGAATTAATGAAATGATCACCAAAGATGAAATCTTGTGATGTTAGAACAAATTCTCTCAAGCAGTACCACAAGGAATGTATGAAGAACAGTGCGGAGAAGCTGCATGTTGATGTTGGGGCTTAGACGGTTAAGTGTGTTCAATAGAGCGGTTTTCACTTGACTGTCGTAAAACCAAAACCAAAGTAAATACACTAGCCAACCAAAGAACGTAGTAAAACCAAAACCAAAACCAAAACCAACCCCTTTCGACAGTCAAGTGAAAACCGCTCTAAATACAAAGGCGTTGTTCTGATTATACGGACTTTTTTTAAAGCTACGTCTTCCCCCCCCCCCCTGACGAGAATACAGACCTGTGGATTTCTGAACACGGCGTACTTTTCTCTTCTGTTATTAAGTATTAGCTTGTTTTGTGAATCCCATGGCCAGCTGGAAACAACATCCACTACTGACTCATGATCCTCCAGAAGACGTTCTAAGGATCAAAATACCAATAAAATTAACGTGGAAGTCAAGGTACGGGAAAACGGACAACAAAAACGTGCAACTTGTTTTTCAACATTGCTGCAAAACGAGTTGAATAGCGATTTCCTCTCGCGTGTTTTACCACCCACGAATCAAACTTGTCACGCAACAAATCAGCCTGTTGCAGGTTGCGAAAAGTTGCTGTAGAGGGGAGGAAGAAGTTCTAATATTTGCAACAAAACCTGTCCATGTTGCGTGTTTTACCGGCCCAAGGCAAACTTGTTTTGCAGCAAGTGACGTAAATCACGTGTATGGCATAACTCCCGCGAAATTTTAAGGAAACAAGGTTAGTATTCACGCAACTTGCAACAATCTGATTTGTTGCAGGCAGGTTTAAACGTGGGTGCGAAAACTCGCAACATCGCCTTTCAACTTGTTTTGCAGTAAGGGTGGCAAACAAGTTACACAACCCCAACACGTGAAATGAAAGCTCTCTGCCTGCACTTACACATCGTGCTATTTGTTTTTCAAAATTTCACGAAATGAAATTTGGAAATTTGGTCGAAATTTGCTTTTGGCTAAATTTGGCAGTGAAAGGGTTAAAATGTTTTTTCTTGGAATCTCAGCGGGAGCCTCGGCGGAACAGAGAGGTTCTACAATCACAAGCACCAACCTATACTGAGCTGAGGAATTCTTTCAATCAAAACCCAATTAGGATCTGGCTCGGAATCATTTTTACGCATCATCTTCTTGCACACTTCCCAGGCCGTCCATGTTTGATCAATAGCCACAGTTTTAGACGTCGGATCATCATCGTTATACACTTTAACAACCAACTTTTTAACCCTGGCAGCTCGGAGCTTTTCCAACGCAATTCGTATCTTTTCCGCTTTGATTCGCTCCTGTTGTTCCTCCTGCGATGGAATCAGTGAAATAAAATTTAAATGAAGTTCTTCATCAAATATTAGCACTTCCGGCAACTATAAAGGTTTATGATGAACATTCATACGAAAAAATATCTATCCTCGTGTCTGTATTATCACAGACCTCGGTTTTGATAATTCATGATATCATGCTCAACTTCATCCAATAATTGTTTATTAACTATAATTATAAATATTCTAAAATTAATCAAGAAAAGATATGAGCTTTGGTTGGGACAAACGAAACTGTCCGTTACATAAGGCTGTCCATATTAAGAAGGCGTCCGTAGAGTGGGGATCCATTGTACTTATTCCGCAGGCAATAAACTCCGCATAAACTGCGATACTCACTAGAGTCAATTCTCGTGTTTCCTCTTGAACACTTTCCAGTCGACTGAGAACATCTTTTGACACCTAGGGTCCAAAAGAAATATATATGTTCGTATATACTGCATAATAACTATCACCTTACAACAGAATGCAGAAGTAAAAGACTCCAAGATTTGCTGCCCAGCATAGCAGGGCAGGTAGTAATCTATACTGCAATTAAACAGTCTCTCTGTTTTCTTAGTCCGCCGACGAAAACGCGCCAGACGCGAAAATGACCACGCGAGTGACTTGTGGTTTAGTCGCTCGACGCTCGCGCGCGCACACTCCCCTCGCTAAATCTGAAGAAAAGGAGAGACTGCTCGCAGTCTAGTCGTTATCCAACACTGAATGGGTGACAGTGGGGTAGGCTTTGTGTAATGTGGGTAGAATGTGACACAAGGCACGGTCAAATGGATAGTGCACCATCAAGAGCCATAATGGGTCTTGGCATGATACATGTACATGTGAAACAAGCGTTTCCGCTCGAATTAGTGCGCGAAAGTTCGTGCGTAAACACTTGCTTGGCAGGGAAAGTGCTCGATTAGGACATGCTGTAAGTATAAAGATAAAATAAAAATGTGATACTAATTTTTGCTAAGGAAGTTCAGGTACGAAGTGGAACAGGAACTACTCTACAAATTACTTCTGGTCAAAGCTTCATGATTTTTGCGTTGTTCTTTGGACCCTTTGACTGAGCCGCGCTGGACTGGGTGTGGTTTGAAAGATCCATCCCCTTCCAGTTAGTTCTGAAAGTTGTCCATGACCGTTAAATAAATGAGATTATAAGTGGTACACGGGCAGCAGACCGCAGTTGAAAAAAAAAAGTGGTTCTACTTGCAAGAGCTGTAAACTGCCACAGGTAAGCTCTCCCAGTTATAAGCCCAAGCAAAACGTATTTTGATCAGCAATGCTATACATGTATGTCGCTTGTTTTGAATCGTTTTTTTCTAGTCCTGTCATAAGCCCCCTTGAATATAAGCCCCTCAGTTTATAAGCCCTCCTAAACCCTTTTACGAAGACATATAAGCCCAGGGCTTATAAGCGGCAGTTGACGTTAATTAAAGAAGTTGACAACAACGTTTACAATTAAAACGAGCACATATGAGGAAAATGAGTTGGTCTACAACGCAAACCAATCATGTGGTACAGAGGGCGCAAGACATCGGGCAGAGCCCTTAAACAGATTTCAAATCATTTTCCCTGACCATAATAGTATTTCATTGGCTACCCTAATTTCGTTAATGATCATCCCCTAATTTTATAAATTAATTTTTATTGTTTTAAAAGTAAGAAAATAAAGAAAATAAGAAACCAGATGTAATGGAGGGTATATAAAATCCTTGTTGGGCAAAATAATTATTAATCTGAAAATGTTGGAATTATTTTTGCGAAAAATAAATAAATTTATTATATAGACACGAGTGTTTTACTGGAAAATATACCACTCGTAAAATTCATAAAAGCTGTATCCGGAACCCGAGTGGTTTATTTTCCATAATCTCACACGTGAGTTTATCGTAATTTCGGTAATTTCCCTTCGAAATTTGTAGGCGTCTTGCGTCTTTTGAATTTTACTTACACATTTTTCAAAGTTTTGCTTATATTTTGTCATTGTAGAGCCCTATTCAGTTCAGTGTTATTTCTCAAGATTATTGTAACCAATGTAATGTGTCTTATATTGCTGCACTGTAAATTTGAGCCGTCACGAGTACTTTTTGGCGAATAAAAATCTATCATTTTATCGACGTCTTTTTGTCTGTATAATAAAAAGAACATTACACGGCGGCTTGAAGATATGAATTTTATTTTCTCGTGGCAAAAACAATATTTTACTCACTCGCTGCGCTCGTTCGTAAAATAATTATTGTTTTGCCACTCGAAAATAAAATTCATATCTTCGCGCCACCGTGTAATATCCTCTATATATAAAATTCAAACTGACACATGTATAGAAAATCGGCAAAACTATTTTCTTCTCTTATTAAGTAAACATGACTCTTGTAAATACCGTTGCATGCTGGAATTGAAAGAATCTCTTCCTTCAGTTTTTGGTGCTCATGATAAAGATCTTAACTTTGCACCAGACTAACGGGAAACAGTTGTAAAACCTTTTTTTTTTTGAACATTTTCTGAGAATACAAAACCGTCAATATTCACGGAATCATCTTACTAAAAATTCTTACAAAGCTGACAGATTCAATTATTGTAAGCTTACAGTGAGGTGTTAGGAAAGTAAAACATATAATAATTTATAAACATCTATTCTGGCATTGTGTTCTAAATTCCATCTCACACACTTTTAGCCAATGCCATCTGCACTGTAATGATGATCAGACATTGATTTTCTTCAATTTTGGTCAACCACTGGGGGGCCAGAGGATTTGTTCAATTATTGTAAGCTTATTATAATGAAGTGTTTAGAACGTAAAAACTAAATCACAATCATATTTATAGAAAAGATATTCCGTCACTGTGTTCTAAATTTCATTTCACAAACGTAGAGGTCACCTATGCTTTCTGGAAGTCTGTGTACGTTCTAGATTAAAGTTCTGTACCTTCACTGTCGGTGAGATGGGTGAATTTCCTCCAGGGCTGGGTGAAAGTACGGACTCTGTTTCACTGCCAGAATTCATGTCTTTTTCCATAATACATAGATCCTCTAACAAAGCATCAAGGTCGACCTCTCCAGTTCCTGTTCATAAATTCAGATATTTTCATATCAGTACTCCACAGTGACACTTATTAATTACAAACAGAGTGTTATAGAGGCAAACTTATTTCATCATGCAATTTCATTTTAAGATCACGGCTGATATCAACAAGAATAAAGATGTTTGTTAACACCTACGTCGAGGACAACTACCTTGTTGAAATGGAACCAGAAAATGAAAGGAAATTTTAAACAGTTTTCCTAAGCATGAAAAAGCCTATCTTGGTCTCAGTTCAAGTCCATTGAATGCTTTAACATATCAGAAGCATGGCTTAGCAAAATAAACAACAACAAGGATAATATTTCAGAATATCAGTTGACAATGCACAAAGATCACATCCTGTCTGAAAATGAGCATGCAGAATTATCTCCACTTTCCTGTTTGCAATAATCTGCTTTTTAAGATCCCAGAAAATGTATTTTCAATCCTCTAGCAACAATAATTGGAGAGACAGACAGTTTCAGAACAGAACTGCGTTGTAAATGGCATGTACTATGTTTTATTTTTACTTCATCTGCCAGCTTCCCAGCCGCTAGGATAACAATAGTTAATTAAAAGATTAAATTTCAAGTAATGTTTAACATCACCAGCAGGATTTGCAGTGATGTAATCCTCATGCTGTGAAATTCTTTAATAGGATTATCGCGTCACACAATCAAACAAGAGAATTATTTTGGAAATTGTTTTATTGTTGTTGATATAGGCGATAATGCAATTTATATGAATAACTTTTATCCAGGAATAACAAAAAAAAAAATTGAAGCGAATATTACATGTATATGATGATTTCTGCTGACAAATAGGTCTTGATAATTAATTTTTTCCAAAACTCTTTACCTATTTTCTGATTTAAAAGATAAGATAACATGTGCTTTTCACAGATTATAGTGTCAAATGTACCCGGGGAGGGGTGGGGGCACTTTGTTAAATAAGCCATTAATGTAGGTCAGGAGCCAAAACCCTGTGTAGGTATGTGTTGGTAGGTGTAGGTATGTATGCAGGCTCTACAGAACAGTCAGGTTCTGGTCTGGAATATGGCAATATGGAATATGGGTTTTAGCATGCATGTGATTCTCCCCCTCTCACATTTTCCAGTAGCACCCCCCTTCTCCTACCCCTTCCCCTTGAGCAAAATATCCAGCCCAGACTTTCCTTTCCAGACATTTCTGAAGAAAATATAGTGACCCGCATAGTGTACACGGAGCTTCTGAACTGCCTACTAATTAGTATAGAATAACAATAATTCAAAATGATGCACATTATAAAGTCACGAGACATGCTAGAAGCCAGCCAATAGCTTCAATGGCTTTATTCCGAAGGAAACAGGTATCACGAGCATCCTTAAGTTCACGTGGGCAGCAGTTTAACCCTTTAAGTCCCGATAGTGACCAACATCAATTTTCTCCTAACAATATCCATATGTTGCCAAGAGAAAATTATTGGGGCTTAAAGGGTTAAGACATCAATACAGTGAAATGCCAACATAACCAGTGGCCAAGGGACTGGCAAAATATTTTCGCTACAACAAGGTTTCATAATATCAATGTTCTTTTCCATATATTTCACTATTACTGGGGCAAATACAATCACTCATTATACTGAGAAGTATAATGATAAATCAAGGTTCCACTGTATTAAAAGAACAAAGCTGTACATACATTGTATTTGAGACAAAGAAATTGAGATTAAGACAAAGTAGACAAATTTCTAAATCAGCCTGTACCGACTGGTCAGGCTGCCTTCAAATACACCAGTCCCTATACAGATGGCCTGCTTTGCATCTCTATATGTTATTATAACCAATTTACAGGGACTGATCATGAGGTCAAACTGAGAAAGCAAACTTTTTAACCCTATCAACTGTGTGAGTAACTAAAACCTAGGCAGAGCTGATATCTTGTATTTTAATAACTTCACAAAATACAAACCAAATAAAGAAAAACATGAAAACCGTAGAAAGTGACAACTGCCCAAAAAGGAAAAATCAAAAGAAAAGAAAAAACGGGAAAAGAAAAACATATTTTTTGGTAATGCATATTGCATTTAACGAGCAACAGCTGCCTGCATTCAGAACGAGTTGGTGTCACAAAATGTCAACTAAACGTGTGTTTCATGATACCCCCAATCTTATCAGTTGATTTCTTATATGAAACAGAACCTGGAAGCTGATCAATTATGTTATCTTTGTACATGTATGTTAAACAAAGCTTAACATGGAATTCACTTTCACTAAACAAAACTGTCAAAACTGAGATGCATGCACAAAACCTATATAGAGCAAATATCCAGTAAAACGAAAAAGGGTTCACATTTTGTTCAAAGTATATTTTACCCACATATTAATTGGTAAACCAAAGTCATTTTTAAATTTTCTCTTCCTGAATGTCTGAACGTATGCAATGAAGCAAGACATAACTGGACTTGTCTGCATTCTGGAATTTTATTGTCAGTTAATTACTATAATATCAGTGATACATTTTTTTCACGAATCTCTGTTTAAAGGTGCCCTGACAAAGGTTATCAAGAATGATTAGCCTGTATGTGTTAAATCACCCTAGGCGGCAAAAAAAAATTGGCAGACTTGACTGAAATATCAGGAAAATCTTAACCTCACCAAATTCTAGATTGTTTAAAAACCACAACAAAATTGACCATCGTTGCACTAAAAGTGTGTCAAAACCATTATTTTGCAATGCCAATCAAAACTTTTTCTCTCTTTTATCAAGGATTATTTATTTCAGGAATGTCATCAGGTTCTGTTTAATCAATTTTGGAGAATAAAGTTTAGAACACTTGACAAACAACTAAAAGTTTTTAAAAATCATCTGTCAAAAGATTTCTTTAAAGCTTAGACAAATTTTGTAAACTTAGATAAATAACTACAAAGTTGGCAGAATCTTCTAAATGTAATAAGTTATAAAAAATAACTCAAAACAAAAGGTTCCTATGGGAGCCCAAGAAAACAAACTTCGAAAAAAAAAAGCTTAAAAAAAAGCTTAAAAAAAAAAATTTGAAAGCTTCAAATTTCACAAAATGAAATCTTATGCATGACGATTTTACCTTTTTTTAACAATTCCTGTGAAATTTGAAATTTATTTCCTTGGGCTCCCATAAGAACCTTTTCTTTGGAGTTATTTTGGGATGAAAAATATTGTTCGTCATACCAAGGATTTCATTACAATTTATTATTTATAGAGGTTTGTTACATGTATATTGAGGTTCCACTGAATTAAACAACAAAAAACTTGAAAGGTAGTGCTTATTGGAAGGATTGGCTAAATAAAACTGTTGTACTACATATTCAGGTATTATACAAGTGCAAAGGATGAAAATTAAGTTGTAACTCGGAGTTTCACGCACTAAGCGATCATCAGACTAAAAGCTCTACTCCAAAAAGATTAAAATTTTCATCCTTTGTACTTGTATTTTGCTCTGCATATTTTATGCATTATATTAAGCACTGGCTCCTAGGATAAGTGAAACTTTATATGTACATATTTTTTGTTGAATTTATTCAGGTATTATTATTATAATTATATTATACATTCTGTATTTTTTGTTGAAAAACTAAAAATTTATTCAGGTATTATAATTATAATATTATATACATTCTGTTTGTTTGTTAATAATTCAAATGTCAAAGTCTTTAATTTTGTTGCCTTTACTTTCATTGGTGTACTATAAATCCTCCTATTTTACTCACCCATATTGGATAGGTAGGTACTTCATTATGGAGAATCTGAACTGATCCTACTCAAGGCAAAAGAGAAACTGCTTGTAAGATACATGTATCAGTTGTGAATTGATCCTAAAGAAAGAAGAAGTATGAGGATCTCTTATAACTACTGTTTATCTTTCATAACGAGTAGACTGGATATGTTGTCCTTCAGGAGCATGATTCAAATAAAATTTTAATTCTAAAAAAAACAAAAATGGAATCAAAGCTTTCCCCAACAGGGTGTAAAGAAAATCATTTTTACAGCTTCCCATTCGGGCAAGCTGAAGCTAGCATTTACTAGCCCAGACGTCATTTCAACTAGCCCCCTATCGGACAGTACTTTCTTTGCACGCTGCCCAAACAACGGCATCATTATCATCATCACGCCATTGATTGGCGAAAGCTTGGATTCCATTTCTATTTATAAGAAAAACAGCAGTTTAAGGCCTCATTAGAATACTATAATTTTCAAATCTTCTAACGAATACCAGAATAAAACAATACACTGAATTGTTTGTATAAAAATCCGTGAGAATAAATCATCGCATTATTTGCCTCAAACCTGTCCACGATAAGGTTTAGAGCACATGAGCAATGGTGTGAAAGAACAAGTGAATTTGCAATGGAGTTCAATATTAACTGGTTCATTACGCTTTGCAAGCATATCAAGCCATTTTCAATCTTTGCTTCAGCTGTGTATAAAACGTTTTGTTATATTCCTAGACTTTCACTCAACTAAACAGGGACAGCCACTGGCTGATTCTTGGTCACGTGGCCTTGACTAAAATCAAATGTATTCCGATCGTGATACATCAAGCAATGTACCCTGCTTGGGATACATTACAGCACGCGATCAGAGCATGGTGGAAAGTGGCGTGACAGAAGGTGGGAAAAACACTGCCAGTTTTCTTTTTCGTGAATGAACACAACAACATTCACAACAACACAAACATGAAGCCTCAAGCTAAAAAGCAACGATTTTCAAAGTTATCCTAGAAGAGAAACAGCAGCTAGTGGAGGAAGATGCAGATAATATAAGGAAAGTACTTTTTAAATCATTCATTCAGTGGTTTTGAGAATTAAATTTGTGTTCTCATAAGTACCGAGTCGTACTGTTTTGATTCAGAGAGGGATCCCCTCTTAAGCGTATTCTTTTGTTGCTGTTGAAAGTTTTACGTTGAAGTGAAAGTCTGGAAATTTAACAAAACACTTAAGGTCCGGTTTAAAACTGCTCTTCTCAGAAGAATTAAAACTGAACCAGTTAGCTTTTTTGTTTTCTCCAGGTAGAACCATGCTTAGTCGCTACATTTTCCATGTTGCAAAATCGACAAGATACAGACTCGTCCAGTTTTGCAGCTTTTCTTCATCTTATTGTTTTCCACGTTCCATCAGCAGATGGGGTCGATGGCTTAATTGGCTTTTTTTACTGCAGCATTTTCGCTTTTCTGAATATCCAACTCCTCAAGCCACTTCTCTTACTGATATAATTTTGCAGCCCATTCGATTTTTTTTTCGCTCTTGGTTTTCGATGAAAACGGACAAACCTTTTCTTTTTCTTGGCAGCATTTTCACCGAAGCAAACGCTAAATATCCACGGAGGGCTATAAAGAAACAAACGTGTTGTGTCCAATGAATCACGTTACTAGTTCACACCAAGTTAAAGATATGACACGGGTATGACAGATCTTGTCAAAAATCAATTAAATAACTAGAAAAAAATCTTTTAATTTCGACAGAAATAATATTTTCTTCTGATTTTTTTTTTTTTTGCTTAAATATCTATTTGAAAACGTTGAAACCTCAAATATGGAAAAATGGCAATTTTAAGGGTGGCTGATACCTTAATAACTAAAGCAATTTAAGCTTAAATACATGTAAATACAACAAATCCTGGCTAAATACAAATTTGGCCAAAACACCAAATTTATTTACCGTAGAGTTCCAGCAATTGCTTTGAATATTCTGAGAAACGTATCGCCTCAATTCACGAGAATTTTTTACCTTCACTTGCATTCATACTCTTCGCCTGCAAAAACATGGCTTTCTACACAAAACAGGATAACTCCGCCTTTAGTTTTCCACAGCCCACTTTATCAACAGTCAAGTGTCCTAGAGGATACAGAATTTACTTTTCCCTTCGGAGTGTAATTCTGAATCGATTGGCAGCGACCAAAAGGGCCTGGATTCGAAGGCCATGAAATCGAGGCAAAAAAGGTGATATACATAATTATATACAAACATATTTATATCCGAAGATCTCAAATGAGGCTGGCTTCTGGCACAGGCAACCCAGGCAGGTCAAGTACATGACCTGAATTAGTCTGCAAAGCCTGGCGGCTTCGCAGTAAAAGGGAGCTGCTAACTTACCAGTGGCTGCGAGGGTGGAACATACGTCAACACATCTGGGCTTTCTATCTCCGGTGGAATTTGAGATTTCTGCTCAAGTTCCTATGGATTAAAGAAAATAAGCTGAGAATGAACCTTTAAAAGGACAGTATGCAACATGACTAAGTAATTGGACAGTATGCACCATCATGCGCACGCTTAAATGGCTTTTTTTCCCTGCTGGCAAAAAAGATCTTGGAATTTCTCATGTTTAAACAAATTGAACTTCTGCTTCGTGGTTGTCCAATTTTGTTAATCACTCAATGATTACAGACCGAATTGGACTCCACTCAGTCCTTTTACCATTACGTATACAAAAAGTTGGACTGGCTAAAATAATAGTTAATTAAGTCTTCAAAGTTTTAACTGATTTTCTCTCAACTTGAGTTGTCATTTCGTTATTTTTAAGTAGTTAACCCTAAGTTTTTCGTCTGTCCTGCCTAGATTACAGTTGGTACCTGTGGGTCAGTGTAATTACCTAAGTTAAATTCTTGAAATACAGTTTTGTTGTTACTGTTGTTGTTGACATATGACAGATGAAATGGTGACAAATGGCATAAAGATCATTTGAAACTGAGACATGATGAAGATAGTGACAAATGCAATAGTAAAACATCAGTAATATAGCATCCTTCTCAATATATGAATATACTGAATGATTTGCTAAACTGTCCAATTATCTCGCCAATGACATGGGGAAAATACAGAAGTGCACCCTCTCCATTATCTATCCCTTTACTTCATATGAAAATGCACAGGCTAAGGCAGGGATCACGCACTTAAAGCAATGTAGTGAAGACGCTTATGTCAATTTTGTAAAAATAATGAGCTACAGTAGTCTTGACAACCCAATCTCCCTTTAATAATTTTCCCAGTAGCATTGTTCCCTCATCTTCAGCTAACTGTACATGTTCAAATAGATCGTTCACCAACCTTCCATCTAATATATACCGTCTGATTGTTTCACAAATTTTGTAAAATATGCCGCTGTTTAGTGTCCTAATTATGTATTGTTTATGTAATTGACCTGTACCTGCAATTCAGCTCTAAGCTGCAAAGGGTGTCAATAAATAAGTCATTCATTCATTCTGTCATTCAATATGTAAAAGGATGGGTTTTGAAATGCAGATTAGGAAATTACGAGTAACGCTCCCTCCCCCCCACCACCAAGAGGGCCTCAATGTTGCTGGCTCCATGCCCAACCCTTCCCTTTGGACCCCACCACCTGCTGGGTGCAAGTTTAGTTACCATATTTCCTCGAATAATAGCTGTTCCTCGATTAATCGTCTCCCTCCAATAATCACCCCCCTCCCACCACTATAGGTAACCCACTGATCAGTGACGCCGCCAAGGATATTGACAATGAAAATTAATAAAGGAACCAAATTTGGAACACCAAAAAGCCCCTGTTCAGTTTCTTTGATGTGATTATTTTTTTGATTTAATGGCAAAATAGAACAAAACATTTAGGGCATGACTCCCACTGAACAATATTGGAAATAATCGCCTCCCTCAAAGAATCGCCCCCTTTTGGTGCGAGAAAAGATATAATTGCCCCCGGCTATTATTCGAGGAAATATGGTAAGTTTCGAATTAGACAAAAAAACCGAAGAGACTTACTTCCTGGAAAGTTGCTAATTCATTCAACATCTTATCAATGTCATCATCATCTTCCTCCTCTTCTTCTTCCAAACTGTCCTCTGACTTATTAGCAAGTAGGTCATTTTCACTACTTGCAGGGGTCACCTCTGGACTAGCCTGTGTGTCACTGCCTTCACCATCCATTTCAGCACAGACAGCTCTACCAAATTGCAAACAATAAAAAAACATTATCAGGGGGGCCAAATGAACAGCGTGTCAGAGAGCGCTTTCCATTCAGGAAAAAAACCTGGAAATTTCGGTGGGAGCAAAAGTGGAATTTCCGATTGGTAAAAAGTTGTTCCATTTGGTCGTAAACCCTGGTACGTCGCGGTGCCCGATAGATTTTCTTGCCATGGACCTGGAACTGGCACAAACTAAGAGGAACGTGTAAATAGAACACAAAATTCCATTCGGAAATTCCAACTGGGAAAACGGGCCCACCTTTTTAGATTTTCCACTTTTTCTGGGAATTTTCCGGTGGGACGAACCGACAAAACGTGTTCCATTTACCGCCGAGCCGGAAATTCCGGAAATTTTGACTAAATGGAAAGCGCCCAGAATCACAATCCAATGGTCTCAAGTTTGACTCCCTCTGGCCACTTGCTGGATTTGTTCTCGGTTGTACTGAGTTCAAATCCTCAGCCACGTTTGTAAAATAGCCAACTGGTTGCCTCCTGCCAGTTGTGGTTTTTAATTCTGTTATGCTATATTTGAATTATTTGTTCCTTATTATTTGAGTGGGGTGCCTGTAAACTAGCTGGATATATAAGCTACATGTAAGTGCATTTCCTACTAAAAAACCTATTATTTGACCTAGTACAGAAGTAACACAAGTGATTTTGCCAAATATTCTAAAAGAAATATAAAATGTAATAAAAGAAAGGGTGCACTGTTTAAGGCCCTCACCGACTTGACTTTTAATGACAAATTCTCCCTATGATCACAAGCATACAGAAGGTAAATGGATAAGAGAATTTATCAGTGCATTACCTTACACATTTATCCCGGGCAGTCCTTTAGCAAGGTTGTCACTAAGGGCCGAGGGACAGAGATTCCCCCAGCTACCACCTTATTACACGAAGTTCTCGTGACATGTTTAAATGCGATTTTGATGTGCGCATATTTCACAACACTTAAATTTTGCGATTTTACGAAAATTTGATATTAAAAAATATTGATATTCAATTTCAGTGGCATTATTTATTGTGCAATAACAATAGACCTTTCTTATTGCACAAACTGCCCTGAAAATGCTACAAAACATGTAATTTCAGATTTTTTATCATACCCTATCAGAAGGCCTGCATGTAGGTTCAAAATTTAAATTTTTTCGAACGGAGGTATTTTGCTATCTGAGCAGTCCTTGCATTAGGAAAAGTATCACTTCAAATTCCTCAAGAGATTAATAGGTCTTTTGCAATAGTTGGTTACGTGATCAACTTTCTGTAAACACGAAAACAGTTTGTTCTAGGAAAATTTTGTTAGCAGGAACTGAAAGAGCATATTAAAATAATTAGGTAACCAGTAAATATTCAGCTGTGTATCTCAAAAGAAGCCATTGCAAGGGCTGCCGAAAATTAGCAGGATTTGTATGAGAAAAACAACTCTTGCCACCTAGTCACGCTTGAGTGGTTTTCCATACAAATCCTTGTAAATTTTGAAATTTTTAAACTCTCGTTAAATCTTTCCCATACGCATTTAAGGGCTCAATTACCTGTCACAAATAAAAAAGAGATTTGAGCCAAGTAATGCTTACCGAAATATTTCACGACAGTTTGAAAATTTTGAAATTTGCAAGGATTTGTATGGAAAATCATTCAAGTGTTCTCGATGGCAAGAGTTACTTTTCAAACACAAATCCTTCTGAATTTCAGCGGCCATTGCAATCCCTACTTTTGAGATATAAGGCTGAAAAAATAGAGGTTACCTATTATTTTGTCGATATAATGTACAAAATCAATTAGTCCATGCCTCAGGCTCAAAAATGGCCTTGAAGATGAGCAGTGTTGTCAAATAGCTGATGTGTACACGTATTAAAATTGTTTCGAGTTACCGTTGGCAATGTTCACTCTTTTCAGATCCATAGTAAAGAGGTGCTTCTGATAATGTATCCAAAGTATCTGGTTTTGGATATGATGAAAAGAATCTACCTCCACTGTGGATCACTTGAATCAATAATACGTGTTTGGATTCAATGAAAAAATGTTTTTGGGCTAGTTGACATGACTTTTGGGCTAGTACATGCTAGCAACAGCTTGTCCAGATGACAAGCTGTAAAACTGACTAAAGTTCTTTGCACCCCGTTTAGAGTTCTTATTTTCCACTTGAATTATTAAATTTCTGCTTTGACATGATAAATCCAAGCAAAATAGTGCAATGCATATGGTTGAACTTGATTCGAATGAAGCTTTAAAGCAGGGGGCTCATGGTCATGCGCATGCATGTCATGACAACTAATCCAGAATAAATAATATTATGCAAGGCAACACTAAATTCGAAGAAGACATCAACTGTGAATTAAAAAAAAATTTGGCTTATCCGTTGCTCTACGTAAGCAAAGTGAAGTCTGCTATTTCTAAAGTACTCGTAAATGTTGTTTAAGTTGTTTTCGGAGAAAGGCGTTTAGGAAACGAAAAATCTATTTTGTGAATGGAGTCTCGGAAGCGACATTACAGGCGACCGGAAACAGGACGTTCTCAAGAGTCTTTGGAGACCTGACACACTTGAAATGCTCCTTGTATCTTTGGTGTATGATCATAATTATATGTTTAAGAATTGACGTTTGGAAAAAAATTATTGCCTGAATATTCTGTTTATAATCTGGTTTCTTTAGGTGTTCTACTCGATGACATTTGTTTTGCGGAAAACTGACCAGACGCAACGCGAATGAATTTGTTCATCTGCTAATAAGTAATTGAAATTTATGCTCAATTTAGGATTATCTTTATACTCATACGCTGTGTGTTTTTGTCACGGATCAGGAGCTATTCGCAAGTATTTCTAGGTCTATATAGGGTGAACAGAGAGATCACTAGTAAAAGGTTTCTTTACAAATTTTGTTTGCTGATTGCGGTGACTGCTTTGTTAGTATGGGTACACAAAAGACCTTTTAAAGATACACATAGGTAAATGTTTGTTTCAAAGCAGGACAGGGCTGTAAATCTTATTCGTATCCGCTAGGGTATATAAAATCAACCTGAATGTCCAGAAATACTCCTGTGTAGTGAACAATGAATTTAAATTACGTAAATTTCCTTGTGCGCATTTAAATCGCTTCCGATTGGTTTAAAAACAGTCAGCTACTGTCAGAACTCACACATGTGCAGTATCGTGAACCTGTCCCTTTAATTGATAAGCATTAATTTTATATGATGCTAAAGTGCACACAATTTCTGTAGCCTTTCATATGTCACAAAAAAATTAATGTAAAGGCGGTAAGTCTAAAGTGTAATTTACATACAGTAAGTATACAAATTACATAACAAATTAAAATAAGAAGGAAATTAAGAAAAGTAAATGCGTTTTTCTTCCACAAAACAAAAACAAAAACAAAAACAAAGAGGGCTTTCTATCAGAAGTTAATTTGGGCAAGTTCAATTTATCTTATTTTTAGTTGAAGATATCATCCCCATTTTTAAAAAGTGAAACACATGCCAGCTGTCTTACATGTGATTATTTATGGCTCATAAAAAACCTTGCATAGAATAATCATTTTAATGATTCAATTGTGTAAGACACTAAGAATAAAAATAATTGTTGCACCTTGTTAACCATTGTAAAAGACTGAAAAATCAGGTGATAAAACACACACACTGTTTTACAATAATCGCTCTGTAATAAAACCTTTCAAAAGTATTCTGAAAGAACTGACGATACTCTTTCGTTATTTTAATAATCATTTAATGATAGGCGAGGAGAATACATAAGCTTAAGTTTTGAGTTGAAGCGAAATAACGAAGCGCTCGCTCAACCAAAAATTGTTTGGTGGTAAAACTGAAAAACCCTTTAGCCAAAGGGCTAGTATTTAACATAAAAAAAAACTCAAAGAAGATAAAATATTACTGAGGAATTCAAAGGTAGACATATCATCTACTTACTCAGGTTTACCGCAAATTTGTTTGCACATTATTTCGGGATTGAAATCAATCCCTCCGCACACAGCCAACTCAAAGGATCTTTTCCCTTTCACTTAAAAACGAAGCGCTCTCAGTTGGAATATCGACTTCCGATATCGTCAATGCCATATTCATACATGATTTAAGAAGAAAAAATAAGCACTTACCCAACAAAGAGAAATGAAAACGCCTTCACCAGCACCGGACGCACGTAAATACAACCAAACACACTCCCGCCTTCCGAACGCCTAGCTAATCAGTAGCGCAGAATGATTGGAATTTTCGGGATCTCAACTGCAAATTAAGTTCAAGAGATCGCTTTATACTGTTGAAAATAAAGAAAGGGATTGAAGAACGTAAATCTAACGGCGAAGCTCTGTTTTAGAAAGTGCAAACGGATATGTTTCGTAAGTGCACTTGTCGAGTTTCTCCTGTCTTTTCGCTCCGTCGACACTCACGATCTGACGGAGGCCTGGAGCGAGTCACATTAAGAAGTGAGGCTAGGAAGATTTTAAAAGCGGATTGGACTTTAAATTGCACTTAGGATTGGACTACAATGGTCGTATAAATATTTGTTGAACATTCTTGAACACTCGGTTGAAGCTGAAGATTTCTCATGTCGCGCCTCCTAAACCAACTTATCTAATTTTTCCCATACGTAATTTTCCCCTCTCTTTCCAATGTTGAGACTCGCATTTATTTGCAATGAGTAAATACGTGAAGGGGAGGGGAGGAGAGGGGAGGGCTTGGACCACGATGGTCCACGTGTCATATGAGAGTTTGTGTTTATTACTTCGAATCATTATCTGACTCCCTCAGTAACGAAGTTGCTGAGAGGGGAAAATGACTCGAAGCAATCGGATGAGATTCAGGCTAAAGGGAAATAAAACTTAGATCAAATAAATGAACTAAAAGCGGCAAAATCTTTCAAAATGTAGCGTCTTAGCCTAACCTCTTCAAGCATTACACAATTTTACATTTTGTTTGAACAACCTATAAATATTATCGAAAGCTTCGCTTTTAGCCCTGGCTATTAAAATCTATTTATTATATATACACGAGTGTTTTACTGGAAAATATACAACTCGTAAAATTCATAAAAACTACATCCGGGACCCGAGTGGTTTATTTTCGATAATCTCACACGTGAGTTTATCGATGACTTAATTTTGGTAATTTCGCTCTATCATTTTATCGATGTCATTTTGTCTATATAATAAAAAGAACATTACACGGCGGCTTGAAGATATGAATTTTATCTTCTCGTAGCAAAAACAATATTTTACTCACTCGCTGCGCTCGTTCGTAAAATATTGTTTTGCCACTCGAAAATAAAATTCATATCTTCACGCCACCATGTAATATCCTCTATCAGGAGCCCATCAAGGGCTCCTGCCTCTATATATTATGTAAGACTCTGAAGAAGGAAGGCCGTGCCTTCTGAAATATTGGTAAAAAATATATACCGGTACATTTCCGACTGTAAAATCAGCCTTGCTTCTTTTGTTTTATATCGATAAAGTGCATGCTGTTACCCCAGCCGTGGTTAATCGATAAACCGATAATCGATATTTTATCAATAGTAGTTGATATCAATCATCGATGAATACCGATTTCCAATATCGATCGATAGAAATGGATAAAGAAAAAAGTTGTGACTTCGATTAATATCGATGATTTTTCGATAGAAATCGATAATGATTTTATATCGATTTCTATCGATTCTTATCGATTTTGTTAATGGATAATAATCGATAAATTATTTTTTTTGCGACTTCGTTGTCTATCGATTTCCGATATCAATCGATATTAATCGGTGGATTAAATCGATTAATATCGATGATAAAGATTGATTTCTGATATCGATTTTTATCGATTAACTATGTCTGGTGTTACCCGGTATTGTTTGACCAGACTGCGTTTAGTTCATCGTAGTTTTATGAGTCAAATGAGTCAATGAGTCATGAGTCGTGAGTCAGTGAGTCAATGAGTCAGATCTGAAAAAATAAAAGTTTCAGTAGGAACAATAAAATTAAGCATTACTTTTACTTATTTTGTCTACTTCATTCATTGCTGCCTGCACAAGGCCTATTTCTGACATGAAATCTCGACCTCTACCTTTGCTGTTTGTTAGCAGCTCCCAGGCCCTGCCGCATAGCAGAAGTGAAAAATAGGCCAGCCTAAATTTTGTGAGTGCTTCGGAAGAAAGTGTTTAATTCCCTTTGAACCCAGCACTTAAAGTAAATTGAGATAAACCTATTATGGAATTTCTTAGCACTCAAAGACTCAAACCTGGGAACAGTCGTTCTTTGATATTCAGTGTGTTGATGTTTGGGCCCGGTTTGAAGTAGAAAATCGGTCATGAGTGTAAAGGAAAGTTCCACTTTTATATCTGTATGGGTACGTTACTCATTAGCTTGTCATGCTTTTGTAAAGGTTAGTATTCCGGGAAGTATTCATTAGGTTTTAGCGAGGAATCTTATCAAGGGGAATACAATTTTTTTTCATGCTGTGGATCGCTGTCGCTGATGAACACAATGAAGACGATCCAGTACACTAAGCGTCCGTTCCAACAATCAATAGCAGAGTTTTTTTCATTTGATAATCTTCCCAATATAGTTCACCACTTTTTCCAATCAGTTTTGCTTGCCTCAAAAGGTGAATGATGCTACGAGGCGAACAAACTGAATTGTAATTTGCCCGAGGAGGAGTATGAAACAGCGAGTCGAACAGTTGTACACAGTCAGTGTTTATATTAGAAACATACAGTGTACCAATAATTATTGTTGAGGTATTACTGTCTAAGGCTCGTTGATTGATTAAAATCTTTGAGCATTCATTGTTTGCATTATGTTTGTGTTTATTTACATTAGCTCTCTTGTTTAAAACTCGTGCCTCAACTAATATGAACAACCTTGGGGCAGCACTTCACTTCTGGTATGGAAACTCTAGTAGTTTGGATTGTCTGATGGTTTAAATAGTTCTTGAAGGGTGTCTGGGAAGGCTATTTTTCGGGACGTAGCAGTAGCGGCAGATCCTAGGATACTGCTAACAAACAGCCCAGGTTAAGATTTCATGTCAGAAATAGGTCGAAATAGGCCTTGCATGTGCAGGCAGCAATGAAGTAAGTATATAAATTAAGTAAAAGTAATGCTTAATTTTATTGTTTCTACTGAAACTTTTATTTTTTCAGATCTGACTCATTAACTCATGACTCATTGACTCATTTGACTCATAAAACATCCGTTCTCTAGTTTTATTTATCGTACAAACTCTTTATTTCCCATACAAACAAGTCTCATATTACGCTCGAGCCACCTGTGCACAACGTAACAAGTGTTTCACCAAATTGAGACAAGTATTGCAGCAAAAAAGGAAAGTCTCTTTTGTTTGAGAAAAACTGGCAGATGAAGTGAAACAAGAAAATTAGTTTTATTTACTTAAGTAAGAAGCGAAGCAATTTCTTTTGTCATGGCGCAATACGCTTTGCTCACATAGGAATGCTTTCATTTTCACCAAGAAAGGATAAAGCTCTCTTTATCTCTGTCACTTTATCCTCTTTTGTTTTCACACAGAGAACGCATAAACCTGCAAAATGCAGTTTACGAAATAAACTGTATTCAAACTCCATTTTAAAGGGTGTGTGTTTTTTTTGTGTTTAAAGATTTCGACCAATGATAACTTGAAGTTGCAAACAAAAGCCGAGAAAAGCCGTTACAATTTTACGTGTTCCTCATATAGGATATCTGTGTTACTTCGACGCAGACGAGAGTTTGTTACAAGGAAGTTGGTTAGAAAACAAACGTTTAATATACATACTGCTTTGCGACGATTTCGTAAAATTTTCTGTTTTAAACCAGCCAGAGGCTTAGGAGAGACAATAGTTAAATTAGCACCTTTTTGCATTCCGATGTGTTGATTGCGTTTGGTTCTTTCCTTCTCATCTGGATCATTTTATACTTAATCATAACTATACCAAATTTCTCAAATCTGATTGGCTATCAACCACCCTGATTTCAGCCTTGATTAATGGGACAATTTAATGGGACAGTAAGCGTCATGCCTATATTGTGTAAGTAATTGGACAGTACGTGCCATCACAGGTGCGCTTAAATGGCTTGTTTTCCCTGCTAGATTTAAAAAAAGAGCCTTACATATCACAGATTTCGTTAAATTTATGATTAAGTGGTAACAGAACTTCGTGTCGTCCAATTCGGTCTGCAATAATACTCGTGATTAAACAAATCGGACTCCCGTTAGGCGGTCCTCCGATTTTGTTACTCACTCGTATGATTACAGACCGAATTGGACGACACGAAGTTCTGTTACCATTACTAATTGATAAAGTTAGTTTGACGCTGTAATAAGATTCAATAGCTGACGTTTAGGTCGTTTTAGCTGACCCATCATCTGAGCAAATGTAAAGGATTGAACGGGAAACTAAAATTCGGAACAAAGGGACAAGCCTCTTGTGGAAAGCATGACATGGCGGACATGGCATCTTTTCTCAAAAAAAGAAAAAAACCTGTCAAGCTTGGTGTGTTTTCTTTTATAACAGATCAATAGATTGTATGGGGTGCACGAACCCAATATGAAAAGTGAAAATATAAAACGGTTCGATACTTTTAATTCTGTGAAATGCAGGATCCGATCTAGAAACAGTCACGAAGTTGACAGATCTCACAGCTTAACCTCTAAGTATTGACACACAAGCAAAAAAAGTCTGTTGTTGTTGATTGGCTCGGTAAGGTAAATACTGCAATCGGGCCTAAATACACGTATCCTGCATCTAGTGTCTGCAGCATCAATCGGTAATTTGAAAGCCTGTACAATTAACAATTATTCCTCGAGCCCGAATGGGCTCCGAGTCAATAGCCCATGAGGCCGAAGGTCGAATGGGCTATTGACTCAGAGGCCATGAGGGCGAGAGGAATAATTGTTTTAGTAAAAACCAACTAGTTGGTAAAAAATATCGAGACAAAACAACTTTAGCTAGTTAAAGCTAGACTTTAATCCTTTTTTGCCGCCAAAAAGCCGGCGCTTTTTGCTAGTAGTGCCAGTGGGTTATAAAATATAGCCTAGTAGTAGCTCATCCCATCAGAATGCAGCATTGTTAATAGACCACTAGTTGGATTTTACTAAAGGGTGTTATTGGTCGCTCGTCGCAAGCCGTCTCTTGATCATTTTTTGTAAGCAACAACTACAACAACAACATAAGCTTTATTACCAAATAAAAGTTAACTTAATTTACAATATAATATATTAATACAAAAAAAGGTAACATTTACTCAGAATAACTAAAAAGCTAATCGAGCTGAGTAAAGCTAAATAATGTTCAGGCATAGGAGGTAGGTTGGCACTAAAGCTAGAAAAAACAAGGAATTAGTAAATAGATAAAAGGACAAAAAAAATGAAAAAGGAAAAAAAAAAAGACTCACGAACAGTAAGACTGTAAGATGTTTGACATGACTTTGTTTTTAAAGGATTTAAGGGGGAGGTGTTTAATACTTTCATCAAGGTTATTCCAAACTTTTACAGCCGTGAAGCGAAAGTTGAATTTACTGTTACAGGACTTATCTTCCCGATTTTGAAGATATATGGAAAGTTAATGAAAGCTCGATAAATATCCGATCAATTGGCTTTTAAGGTTCTAGAACATTCTAAGTGTTTACCTTTAAGAATGCAACATGATGAATAACCAATTTACTAATAAGCTTTTCCGGCATTTAGAAAGATAAATATTAAAAGTGTGCTTTTTAAGAATGGGACATCATGTCTCCTGACTTGATGTCCCTCGGAAAATACTTATCTTTTAATGGACACTTTTAGTAATTTACGAAGGAAACTTGCGTTTTAAGGCTAGTGTTTGTTGACAAAGTTTTCTGTTTTTTAGGTATTGATTAATTAAAGGTAGGAAGTTTTGTCCCATCTATTTATCTTGTTTCCACATTTATGAATATGGGAGTTGTCCTTTGTTTACCATTAACGAAGCTTGTATCTTTGAGTTTTACCTTTAAAAGGTCCAAACATCTTTAAAGTAGCTGTGTAAAAGTGTGTTTCTTATACTGAACTTTACTTAGTTAGTTTTCCTTAGTAGTTGTCCTGCTCCAGAACTGAAGAAAAGTTTTTCAAAGAAATTTTAGGTTACGAATTAATCGTATGCTAATTAGAACGTAAATGTATCCTACGCATTATTATTAATGTAAACATATTATGGACAACCAAACAAATAAATAGAGAGCTGTTGAAAAGTAAGCTTTTAGAAAAAGAGTAAGCAAGAGAACTGCCAAGAAGAAGGCTAACTTGAAAAAGGACTTTGCTAAGGAAGTTGAAGAATTGTAAAGTGAAAGAGTAAGTCACTCAGAAATAAAGTATATAACCTAGTACTTATTTGGTTGTGAGAGTCACTGCCGTGCCTCTGGAGCAACCACCGGTATCAGTGGTGCAGAACAGTTTGCTACGATCCTGGTATCTCTCGCCTCGACGCCTCCAACGTTCCAAGTTCCTTATAACACACTGCTCCTGAAGATTATTTGATGGCTCGATCATTCTTCATGGCTCTCTTCTAACTCCCTATTATGAAGACTATTGAACGCAACGGAAAGAAAAGGATGTCGCATCCATATAAATTTACAGATAACCGCCCGCTTCACTGATGACTGCGAAGTCAGTTCAGTATATAAAGACTATCATTATAATGGTGAACTCTTAAATGACTTTTGGTCACTTTTGTTCCTGCTTTCTAGATTTAAGTCTTGTTTAACCAGCTATATCTTACTATGCTTATTATCTTATTTAAAAAAAAAACAAATCTTAGAATTATTATATCTTTTATGATTTAGACATAATTTAATCTTTATAGCGTAAACTTTAGCGTCAGTCCAATATGTCGTTTGAAGAAGCGTTGTGTAAGTTAGGTCAGCTTATAAGTCGACAAAATGATTACTTCTGTAATGCATTACAAAATTATCAAGCTATATCAAACCATGACTGCGCTGAAGAACGCTTGGAACTATTTTCCGGTTGCGAATCACAGGATATTTATTGCTGGCTTGAGAAATTTCAAAATCTGTTTAAGGGCTGCGATCGCAAACTAGATTCGGCATGTTTGGCCGCTAACTTAGAATGTCATTTAACAGGACTTGCCGAGACTTTTTATTTTTCTCTCGAACCAGATACACGAAAAAATTTCGATCTCTTATCTACCGCGTTAAAAGAACGATTTTTCTCCGATGATTTGAAATGGCGGTTACGGCAGTCACTCATTTCGAGACAACAGGGACTCTATGAATCTTTGGATTCTTATATCGAATTTATCGATACCACATGTCGACGACTAGGTGTATCTAAGGAAGACCAGTTTTATTATTTCGTTAACGGGTTGCGTGCCGAAATTAAACGTGAAGTTTTGATGCGTCAGCCAAAAGATTATCTTACAGCAGTAAATTTGGCACGCCGTACTGAATTTGTTGATCACACTATTGCAGATAGCCGAAGCAACTTGAACAATTGTAAAGAAAATCCAGTTTACACGTTACTACGCGACAACTTGCGTCAGGATTTAACAGGTGAAATAAAGTCTTTAAGGGATGGTTTTCCCCCAAATTTCGCAAATCGTTATAAGAATTCTCAGACTTCAGCGCAGCCTTATCGCCGTCGTTATACCGGCGGATTCACATCTCAGGGCCCCGCCTGCTACAAATGTGGCGTAGTCGGCCACAAAGCGCGTGTTTGTCCAAATCAGTCGCATTATTACTACACTTCCGAACCTCGACGAAAAACGTCCTATCGAAACACATCCCTACGAATTGTTGAAAATCATGTCGACCCACCATGTTCCGCTACATTTAACAAACGTTCACCGCTTGTTCTGAAAAACGAAGTTCCAATATATCGTGAAAGCAACTTGCAAATCCCTACCAAGACGATCGAATACGTCGAAGTGAAAGAGCATTCTCTACTTACCGACAGCGTCAACGATTTTGATAAAGACATTGATCTAAATTCGTCCTTTGAGACTTGTTTTGAAGTTTTTACACACCCTAAAAGTTTGGATACCCCGAAATAACCTTAACACTAAAGAAAATATTACAGGCACAAGAAGTGTCATTTATTGAAAACTCAGAGGATCAATATCAAGTTCGTGAGCTCGAAGAAAATTCGAATTGTATCGTCAATGATCTTCAATATGTTTGTGCAGTACAAGTATTCGATCCCTTTACGGTAAAAGTGTCTTTTACTGAAGAGGCATCGCAAGAAATTTCGAACATTGAACACCTCCAGTCCAAGCACGACGCCTCAGATTTATTAGTCTCTACAAGCACAGCCCATAAATTGGAGCATTGTGAGAAACGGCGTGATATTTTCGAACGAAGTGATATTTCCCTTGCTACAATTAAGAAAACGAACAATTTTCCTCCAAAGTCAGCTCCATTGGTGCTTATCTTTTTCTATATCAGTATGATCACGATCATGCTAAAATTTGATCAAGCCATCCTGACGAGAACAGGCTTGCCATTTTGTCTTTCGCACCTCTTCTTCCGCCTAAAGACTCCTGTTGATCTTAGTAACTCTGACCTTAATTTCGTTAAATGGAATTCGCTTATGGTTCAATTGTTCAAGTTGCTTCGGCTATCTGCAATAGTGTGATCAACAAATTCAGTACGGCGTGCCAAATTTACTGCTGTAAGATAATCTTTTGGCTGACGCATCAAAACTTCACGTTTAATTTCGGCACGCAACCCGTTAACGAAATAATAAAACTGGTCTTCCTTAGATACACCTAGTCGTCGACATGTGGTATCGATAAATTCGATATAAGAATCCAAAGATTCATGGAGTCCCTGTTGTCTCGAAATGAGTGACTGCCGTAACCGCCATTTCAAATCATCGGAGAAAAATCGTTCTTTTAACGCGGTAGATAAGAGATCGAAATTTTTTCGTGTATCTGGTTCGAGAGAAAAATAAAAAGTCTCGGCAAGTCCTGTTAAATGACATGCTAAGTTAGCGGCCAAACATGCCGAATCTAGTTTGCGATCGCAGCCCTTAAACAGATTTTGAAATTTCTCAAGCCAGCAATAAATATCCTGTGATTCGCAACCGGAAAATAGTTCCAATAGTCCAAATAGTTTTCCTTAGTAGTTATCCTGCTCCAGAACTGAAGAAAAGTTTTTCAAAGAAATTTTAGGTTACGAATTAATCGTATGCTTATTAGAACGTAAATGTATCCTACGCATTATTATTAATGTAAACATATTATGGACAACCAAACAAATAAATAGAGAGCTGTTGAAAAGTACGCTTTTAGAAGAAGGTGTAAGCAGTTATAGAAAAAGAGTAAGCAAGAGAACTGCCAAGAAGAAGGTTAACTTGAAGAAGGACTTTGCTAAGGAAGTTGAAGAATTGTAAAGTGAAAGAGTAAGTCACTCAGAAATAAAGTATATAACCTAGTACTTATTTGGTTGTGAGAGACACTGCCGCGCCTCTGGAGCAACCACCGGTATCATTACCATAGTTTGTTTTGATAGTATTGAGGTAATAGGTTGATTTAGAAGCAAGCCTGGTATTGTATGAGTGTATGGATGCTACCGTTTTAAAGAAATTTTCAAAGGAAGATGGAAGAAGATTATGGTGATAGTTATACATGAGGAGTGCATTGTGAAGGGTAACAAGATCAGTTAATTTAAGAATGTTTAATTTCTTCAAAAGAGACTCAGAGTGATCACCTGTTTCCGAAAAAGTTATAATACGTGTTGCTTTCTTTTGAAGAATTATCAAAGGTCTGAGAGTAGAACTATAAGTATTGCCCCAAATTGATAAACCGTAGGTAAGGAAGGGGTAAATAAGTCAATAATATAATTGAAGTAATATGTTTCCGTTTACATAATGTCTTATTTTAGATAGTACCCCAATACCTCTTGAAATCTTCTTGCTCAATTCGTGCAAGTGCGGTTTCCAGTTCAAATTAGAATCAAAAATGAGTCCTAGGTATTTAACTTGGTTATCAGATTTAACAGACATATTGGAGATATTAAGATTCAACTTATGAGCTATTCGTCTTTGCGGAGAATGGAATACCACAAAGCTAGTTTTTTCAATGTTCAGTGATAATTTGTTAGCAAATAACCACTGGCTCACCTTATCTAGTTCTACACTTAGGTTGGTTTCTAAACTTAGTATGTTGGTATTGTCAAGAAACAGATTTGTATCATCTGCAATAGGTGAAAATCCAAAATGTTGGAGCATTTAGGCAGATCATTTATATATAAAACAAAAAGAAATGGGCCAAGCACTGACCCCTGTGGTACTCCACATGAAACAGTTTGGTAATCAGAATCAGTACCAAAAAAAGAGACAAGCTGTCTTCTGTTACTTAGATATGATGCAAACCAATCATTTACAACACCTCGTATACCATAATACTCCAACTTGGTTAATAAAGTTTTATGATCGACTGTATCAAATGCTTTACATAAGTCTAGAAAAATGCCACAAGAATAGGTGCCATTATCGATTGATCTCTGTATCTTCTCGGTCAAGAGGAGAAGAGCATGGATGGTTGAATGCTTTGATCTAAAACCAAACTGATTATTGTATAAAATAGAAAATTTCTCAAGATAGCTAATAATTCTATTATACATTATTTTTTCAATTAATTTATTGAATATAGAAAGCAGGGAAATAGGTCTATAGTTGGAGACTAAACAGCTGGACCCTTTTTTGTGAATTGGAACTACTCTGGCTACTTTAAATTGATCTGGCACCATACCAGTAGAGAATGAGCAATTAAAGAGCAGCTGAAGAGGGACTGATAAAACACTTTTTAAAGTCTTAAGAAGGGAGATTGAAATACTAAATGGGCCACAAGCCTTGGTTGAACTTAAGGACACAATTAAATTCTCAATGTCAGTTGAATTAGTAGGTGATAAGAAAAAACTAGAGGCCTGGGGTTTATCTAAATAATAATCAAATGCAAGATTTGGTTTTGGTACAGCTGAGGCCAAGTTTTTTCCAATGTTAGAGAAAAATTTATTAAATTGATCAGCAATGACTTTATGATTTGTAATCTCATGTTCATTAATAATTAATTTGCTAGGCAAAGTGGAACCTTTGGACTTGAGACATATAAGTTGCTTTATTCCTTTCCAAACTTCTTTTGTTTTTGCCTTGTTGATCACAAAATATTCTTCATAATAATTGGTTTTACTTAGTTTAAGTAGATTATTTAGTTTGTTGCGATAGCATTTGAATTTGGTGTGACTGTAACATGTACGAGTCTTCAGGTAGTGCCTATACAACCTATGTTTATTTGTAACGGATGCTTTTAATCTCGGGGTGATCCAGGGCTTTGTTTGAAATTTTGATTCCTTTCGAGTAAGTGGCTTTAAAGGTAAATGACTATTAATAACATTGTTTACTTTTGTATGAAACTTATCAAACATTTCAGTAGTATCTGAGAGTCCATGAAATAAATCAGACCAGTCAATGGAACTAAATTCATTTATAAAAGCTTCTTCATTATAATTAGAATAATCTCGTTTACATTTTTTCTCTTTATGTCTTGAAAAAGCAAACCTCTCAATGAGATCATGTAATAAATTCCCACTGATTGTTTGATATTCAATAGAATTAAAGAATATGTTATCAATTAGTGATAACAGCGGTCACGGAATGGTCGTGGACGATTATTTCGGGCGTCTCGGCGAAAAGGACGTTGGGAAGGAGGGAGGCAAAAGGAGGAGACAACTCGTCAATTACGGAACGAAAGCAATGAAAACAAATTGCGTCTTTAGGGAGTTTACACAACGACTGCGACGGCTACGAGAACTTCACTTGAAAAGTGAATTTGCGCTGCCTCAAACTTAATCGCGCCTTTTTTTATCTCGTTTAAGTCGTCAAATGTTGGAAAATGTTTTTAGAGTTGAATTCTAAAGGACTGCTTCAAAGTTCAGGAAAAGAAAAAGAAAGTTGTTGTCTTTTGTTCCCGTCCTCGACAAAACGTGAAATTAGGCAGCTTCACGTTGTAGTCGTGCAACAACGGCAGACAAATGTAGCCTGAAAAAGGCGTGATGCACGTGCAAAGTTGTTGTTTTTCTAATCAAAACCTATTGCTTTTTTGTCGCTCCCGTTGCTGTCGCCGTCGTGGTTACGTGAACTCCCTACCCGTACCTCCAATATATGAAATTCATGTATTCATGATTATTTGGAAAACAATTTCACAACAAAGAAATTTATTTTTTTGTGCAATTAATACAACAGTATTTGACTTAGTTTGTATCAAGAAGTGTATCAATAATATGATGTGAATCTTTTCATAATCTAGTTCGTTAATGAATTTATGATTTTTACTAAATAGCACTTTGATGGCAGCAGGATATATTATTCTAGGAAAAGCCCAAACAATATTTTTATAATCATTAATTGCTCTAATTTAGTCTTCCTGCCTCAAACATTAAATTAATGATTATTAGTCTTCACTCTATTAACCACGGCAAAAGTGGTTCTTAACTTTCTGCGCAACGATATTTCTGGAATCGTTTGGGTTGACAATGGTAAATTCAGCCTCTTATCCGGAGTAGTTCGCGCTATATGAGTGATCAGAGGAGTTATTCTCACGTGTGCTCCCAGTAACACTACTGGACGTTCCAGTAGAATAAGAAAGCGTCTCGCTGCTAGTTTATGGATCAGCTTGCGTATTTAAGTAAGAGCCTAAGAATTAAAGATAACAAACGCGATTTTTAGGTTCTTTTTGAAATTCTTCACCAATTAAGCCGTTTTAGACCAAAAGGGCGCACAAATACCTTACCCCTCAAGGGGGTTTTCAAGAGTATATATGGTCATATATCCATGCACGGCTGCGAACACCTCAGTTGAAACGAAAACTCTTTAAGCATCATTGTTTTCTCACGGCAAAACCGTCGGAACAGTCCCGGTATACCATCGAATACCGGTGTTGCATAGAACTTTAAATCTAACAATCATCTCGTAGGTTTCTTTTCAATTTACTGTTAGGAGTGTAACTTAGCTGCAGTAGGGGCCTGGCTAAATTCCCTTATGCTGTTAGTAGTCACGGCCTCATATGGGTCATTCTTGGAGGCAGCCACATCAACTCCAGCAGACTGGTCATTTAGCTTACTGTAAGTGTCGACTTTCCATGGTACTGGCTTAAGTCTTTCTATAAGTTCCTTTTCCCAACACTCTTGCTTCATCTGTTCGTTAAATTGCAACACATTTTTGTTCCTCAAAGGGAACGGCAATCGCTTTTTCTTTAGCTTGTCCATCAACACAATTATCAGCGAAGAATCCCCCGTGTGAACCCTTTTCTCGACGGCCATGTGCAGCTCTTCTCGACAAAAGTTGCTGGCGAGGTAGTTGTCAGACAAAACGATCAGCACTTGTCGACTGCCGTAGACGCTGTCCGCCATGTTTTGGATAAAAGGCTTTCCTAGCTCAAAGTCTCTGAAATGGATGGTGTAAGAGATGGAATGTTTCTCAAGGATACTAATCAGATTATTAGTTACCCAGGCAAAATCCTTTGAGCTGTAACTGATGAAAAGCTTGTCGCTCACGATTTCTTCTTGGTGACTATCTGTATGGATGAAAATCAACGAAAAGAAAAAATATATATTTATATCTATCCTAAAAGGTTATTTGTTCTTGGTTTATAATAATTGACCAAACTCTGGTCCCACTTTTGTCATTTAGAGATCTTCTGTTCATCCGCAATGCTTGGAATCGGTATCAGGGACCAAGGCGTGATAGAAATACCACTTTATCTTCTTCTTTATATATTGGTCACTTCGAGTCTCAGCTTGTGACTGTGTATAAATTGCATTATTATTCATTTAAAATATTTCTAATTCTTCATAACTATTTATTTATTTTATTTTATTAGCTTTGCCCTGAAGAATACAGAAAAAAAAGAAAAAAAAAACAAAAAAAACAATGAAGATATACAAACGCTAGTAACAAGAACGTAACATTACAATACACTAATAATAACTTAAGTATGTGGGCAGGGACACCGAAAAAGCTAAAGCCAGTTACAACTGGTGCTTACTACATTTGGAAGATGCGAGCAATATACCATCGATTCGATGGTCTATTTGATGAAAAACGAGGCTGATTGAACGCATATTTGATTTTATAAAATAACTAAGATCGTAGGCGCGTTCTGATTTGTTAAAAACCTATGGTTTATTATAGCGGTAAACTCATAGGAAACTTAAAGTTATTTTAAAAAACCAATAGGCCACACTTTCTATGAGTTTACCGGCGTGATAACCCACTTAGGATGTTGGGAGAACACTCGAAAAACTTGTATGAAATCACTCACCTTCAGCTTGTGATTTCTCCCAACATCCCCGCGTGGGTTATCACGACGGTAAACCCATAGAAACTGTGGTCTACTGCTTAAGGAAAAGAGGCTTCTAAGGTTATAGATCATCACCAAGCCGCCGAGCTGTTTCTTCACTAGTCAACTAAAACAAATGGTGTTCACGGTTATCCGAAGACGAAATAGCTGATTTCTAAATAAATCTGAACGGAAGAAATACAAGAATACGTTAAATATATCGCTCGATGGATTTCATTTACTTTTTGAGGAGTACTCTGCAAAGAGAAACATCAGTTTTTGAAACCATACCGAGAAATAGGCAAAAGGTTTGAAGAAAGTCTACGAGGAGGTTATCTTTTTCAGAACTTATAAGAAACATTTTGAATGAATAATGAAACAATTATTGAATTGGACTTTCGTAGGATGTGAAGAATTATGCAGATCTTCTCAATCTCTATAATTCTTCACATCCCACTCAGTCTCATTCAATAAAAACGGCGCTAACTATGCTACTGTTTCGGAGCGGAATTTTGAACCCGATTACCGCGCAATTTCGTAATAACCAATGAATGAAGCAAGAACGTCCCAAAATAGTCCCAATGTGCAATTCGACACAACACTGCGCACCCAGTCTTAAGCGGAACTTTAAAATGGCTGATTCGCAAACTAATTCGCCACTTTAGAAACGAGAAAGAAATGAAGCCGAAACTGCCTCATACCCAGAATTCTCTCTTTTGATGTGCACGCAAAGGAGGGCGGCAAGGAGACAACGGGCTTCGCCCGCCGTCTGTACCCTTCCCATCGTTCCTTGCGGTTCATCACCAGTCACTCGCGTTTCGCGCTCGCCTCCGCCATGCGAAAAACGAAGCCCCTGAGGAGGAGCTGGAGCCGAAGTGCGTCCCGCAATTGTTTCTGGGATTGTCATTCGGGACGTGCGGGCCAGCTATTGTTTTTTCCCTGTCCCTAGTAACAATCCCAGAGGTCTTTGCAAAACTCAATTGGTTCTTGAAACCGTCAATCCCTTTGAGATCAAGTCTAATAACGAACTTACAATTGTAACGTTCTTTTCTTGCACGTCTTCTCTTTTTCAGTGTACAAAACAACACCAGAATGACAGCAAAAACAGAAACGGCCACACAGGCAACAATCCAATCCTTCACAACAGCTGATGTACCTGTGATTTGAACAAGAGAGACAGAGTGACGATTAGAAACATCGCGTTTACGGCAAACGGCAAACGTGAGATTTAACTTGAGCAATTTTCAAAATAAGAAATGAGCAGATAAAAACAGCTCAAAACAATTGTTATGGATAGAATTGGCGTGAATCTACCGATTTGTGATAATGAACAGTAAACGATAAGTAACTGGAAAACATGGTCACGTGGAACAAGTTCGCTTTTGCCGTTTCCCGTAAACGCGATACTTAATCTCTCTATGGGCCATTTGCACGATGACGTCATTTTACTACTACGACCAGAATCCTTTTCGTTTTTCCTTTCATATTTTAATTTGGTAATCCCAGTGAGGTTTCGATAACAAAAGCCCTAATTTGCACAAGAAAGCAAAGTCCTGAAGGATTCTGGTCGTAGTAGTAAAATGACGTCATCATGCAAATGGACTATTAGTCATGGAAATCACGCATTGTGCGTGCAACCCTCAGATTAGTCAGTTACCGTATTTATTCGATTAACCGCCCTGGGCGCTTATTAAAGATTTGGACCTTGAGAGCGGGCGCTTATTCGAGGCTGGGCGTTTATTAAATTTTCACCATTTTCAGCAATTAGTGTAGTATTTTCATTTTGCAACAAAACAGTAAATGCCAGTAACAAAACGCGAAGAAGTAACGAAGCAAGGTTTCCGTAAAATACTCGGAAGAACACTCCGTCTTCGGGGAAGTCTCTTATTAGTACTTATTCGCCTATTCGAGGCTGGGCGCTTATTAACTTTTTCTACCTTTAGGATGGGCGCTTATTCGAGGTGGGCGCTAATTCGAGGTTGGGCGCCTATTCGAATAAATACGGTACCTGTTAACAGATAGGTAGCTAATCTGAAGTTGTGCTGACAGACTGCTAGCAGATAGCCTAACTAATTTTTAGGTTGTGATTTCTAAAATGAACTGTAGGCTCAAAGTCAATGAAGACAGACAGTGCGTACAATGTGTAATAATGTTGCTGATTATTATATTTTTGTTTATACTTACTGTAAGTAGCGTGATCTTTGAATAACGTTATTGGACGTGTTGTTTCATCTTTCTGGCTAACATCTGGCACTGAAAGAATAAAAAATAACAAATATCAAAAATTTACCTTATGCACAGAACCTGTTAAAGCCATTGGCCGTTCTTACACTAGGGAAGGATAATCCGTTTTCAGAATCTGTCAAACTCAATCCACAAACAGACGGTTAAGGTCAGACAGATTCGTTTTTATATTAAAGGGACAGGTTCACGGTTCAGCGCATTCTCATTAATCAAAATGTTGTTTTTTTGCCGGGACATGCTGTATCGTCTATGCAAGCAATATATGATCATGTCATTATGTTGTCAAAGAACCAATCTGCACACTCCCCTGGCAGTCACTTGCGCTTGATCCCGGGGGGGCACTTGGGTATTTTTTGGGTGGGTATGTGCCGCCCGGGACTCCACATTGGCACCCCGTTCTAGAAAAAATTTCCCCTAAAATTGATACCCCGTTCTAGAAATAGGCCAATTTTTTATACCCCGTTCTAGAATTCGCCCTAAAACTAACACCCCGTTCTAGAAATGGGCCAATTTTTTATACTCCGTTCTAGGGTGCAACAAGAGTACAACGGTTTGCTTCCTAACGCACTGAACCGTATTTTAAAAGCAATCTGTCCTTGAATGCTTTCAAATGGCTACTTAGAAAAGTGGAGAGCTTTCGTGTGTTCGAAATATTATACCCCGTTCTAGAAACCGCGTCTGAAATGGATACCCCGTTCTAAACCAGGAGCTTCAAAATCACGACCCCTTTGGGCGGCACATACCCGTATAGGTAATGTATGGGAGTACCCCCCCCGGGCGCTTGATCAACTTATGCCGTGTTTAGACTTGAGCGTGCTACCGAGGTATTGGAGTTAACTTACCTAGGTAAATATTTTGCGTGTGTAAACGCCAACTGATACCCTGGTAAACACCGCTCAAGACAATAGAAGGTTAACTAAGGTAAAAGTTTGGTTTACCTTGCGAGCAGGCATGGTTAAGGTCGGTAACCAAGGTTTGGATGACAGATACATCCGCTTGCGGTCGCATATAATTTCACATCCTGCGGTGTCGGGATTGCGTCAGTCTCATTCGATCACGTTTTCGAGACCAGGTTTTCGACCAGGTTTCCACGTTTGATTTCAGTCTATGACAAAATTGCCGTTTAATAGAGTTTCGAACCAGAATTGGTTTCTCGGCCACGACCACGCACGTCTAACGCGCCTTGTCTTGCGAAGGGTAATTTGTAGCAGAATTTAATAGCTTTCGCCTCGACCTCTTTAGGTGCTGCAAAAGTAAGAGCTGCTGCAATCTCGATTCCTGGGTTTGCTGATCAAGAACAAGAAAATAAAACGCGAGGACTACAAGAGCCACAGCTTTCCTTTTAAATGCGAGAATTTTATGCGTGGATTTAGAATTTGCCGCCAATTCGATTAGATTGTGATTGATGACAGATTTACCTAAGTTATTTGAGCCCGTATAAACACTGTACAAATGTACCAGGGTTTAGTCAGTTAATGTTTACCTTGGTAAACGCTTGAGTGTAAACACAGCATTAAATATTTGCAAATAGCTGTAAATTAATCAACCACGGAATAAAATCGTTGGGACAACAATAAACGTTGGTAGTGTTGACATAATCCACTATTTTTTTTCTGTGATTTTAGTACTCCTCCATTCTACTTCATGTTACTCTGAAATACACTTCTACTTTGAAATACACTCTGAAAGTGCTGAAATACGTGTGAGTGGGATTATTAACCTATAGAATCAATAATAAATTAGAAAAAAGTATTTAATTAATCCGCAGTATGCGCTTAACATGGGACAGACGAGCTGTCTGACACGAATTACTCAAAGGATAATTGACTCCTCTGAGACGGACCATCCGTCTAGAGAGTGGAAACGGCCATTCATAGCACGTATAACACCTACGCATGCAGAGTATGACATCACACTCGATATTAATCTCGTACAGTCAGACCGTACCTCCCACGCCAAAGCGAAAGGGAGAGAAGAGTGAGATAAACCGCAGGAACGTTGTTAATAAACGATACACCAGTACACCGTGCTCTTTACCTAGCATTAGGTAGTTTTAGCATGGACGACGGCAGCGGAAACGTCACGTTTAAATGATTTCGCGTTTTTTTTTTCAAACTTTGTCTCGTTTGAACTGTGACTTGAACTTTGTAATGAAAAGAACTCAGAGTCTTGTTCATATAAATCAACATTTTAATGAAACTGCACACTGCGGTAATGGTCTAAAGTTTAGCCGTGTCTACATTAGACTAAAGACACTCATTAAGGTGATTCCATAGTAAAAGAACCTAACATAGATTGTAGTTACAACTTGGTGCACTGATGTAACAAGTCAAGAAGATGATAAAAAAGTAATAAAAAGTGAGGGTCACCGTGCTTGTTTTGACGTGACAATGCTGACAAATACGGCTATTTAGGACCCTTTTACAAAAACCGCGGGCAGCCCAAAACTAGACAAAAAGGAGAGATTTTTTAGATGATGCATGTGGCATCACACAGAAATTGACTTTAATGTATTGTTTATCCACTTACGTTCCAGAAAAATGCCTTTTAATGCCCTTGTTTTTACTTTACGCTCCAAAGTAGAATTAAATTGGACGCGCGCTTTTCGACCCCTGATGGCTCAATCCGTACAATTTAGTAAAATTGCCAAAAAACTGAACATAGATTTGTGCCAATTTTTTTCTCATCGAAAGGAAGCACCGTCCTTATTAAAATCATGAAATAAAAAATGGGGGTCACCGTACTCGTTTTTGCGGTAGAGCTGCAGAAAGTGCGCACCAAACGCATTTTCTCCAATTTTTGAGAGAGGACTGGGGCGAGTTTCAAAATAGAATGTATGTGAAAGGGGGAAGAAACTATTAAAAAATCCGTTTTTACAGAATTTACATCGAGATATCACATTTAGGACACAATGTGATAAAGAAAGGGTTTAAATGAAAATCAAAGTGAGTAAGCACAAGTTAAACATCCACTATCGCAGGAGCCTATCAAATGGGCTATTTAATGGGCTCCTGACTATCGAGGTTCTCCGAGAGGAGGTCGAACTCAGCAACACGCGTACTGCTTACGTTATGCACATTCCCAACACGTTGAGTCTCACCTCGGCAAGAAACAACAGCAAGCAAAACTTCCAATAGCGTTTCTCTTCAGTCAACTTCATTTTAATAATGTTACTTCACATGCTCTTTTTTACGGCGGACATCTTGTTATGCGCAGTAAGAGATGCGCAGTGCAAAACTAGGGAATCACCTTAAACAGCATGAATTTATTTTGGTTTTTCTTTAATCGAACTGGAGCCAATCACGATTATAAGCTCTATGTAAAATTTGCCATCTTAAAGGCTGCTACAAATACTCTTTCTTTGTACGGATCGTTAATGCGTGGAATAACTTGCCTAAAGATTGTACACGCAGGATCGCAGACTTTATTTCGCAACAGATTAAGGAATATTTATATGAATATTGATTGATACGATTGTAAATATTTTCAATTATGATATGCAAATGATTGTAGTTTTTAGGTTTTAAATATAATGTTTTAGATTCTATATTTTACCTTTTTATCTTTTATTTCTGGGGAATCTTTCGTTTAGGGTTGACCTCTAGATATCCCCTTTCGAGAGATATTTTGTAATTTTAGTTTTTATCTCTTGAATAAAGTATTGTATTGTATTTAGGAATTATCAATGATTTTCTGAAGCTCTGGAAAGCGACCACACTCTGTTGCTTTATTGTTTTACGCGTCGCTTACGAGAGCTCATTCTCGTGAGCGACCTATTCTCGTTACGACCACTTTTTTCGAACTTTCCGAGGTGGTCGCTTTCGAGAGCTTCGACTGTACCTTTTGTGGGCTGTGCGACCGCATGCAACCAGACCAAGGAACTCTTTTTTACCCAATCGCAAGACATCTGACAAAAGTACTTTCCATCATCTTTATATGTCACGTTGATAATTTCTAGAGAAAACAGCAGTCGTCGTCGGTTTTTGCACTTGTTGTTTACATGATGCTCCCTAATTGTATACTTAATGGTATTGTTTTGAAGGGTCTCGTTTTCAAACTCCCATGTTAACTTGAAGGAAAACCAGCAGTCTATCCTGGCCAATACCGAGCAATGCAGGCTTACGTTGGAGGTCTCTGAGGCGGTGACCATGTTGGGTGTTGCTTGGATATAGCCTTCCTCACCTGAGAACAAAAGTTCATTTTACCCTGTGAGCCCCAAAGTTCACCAGTATGTTTTCTTTTCCATATATTTCTTGAAAAATTGGTTGACAGAATTTGTTAGAAGATCAACGCATTTTCCCTTTGGTCATAATTTTGTTAATTCCCGTAATCTTTCAACTTCATTATATATATTGATTTTTTTAAGCTTGAAACTTGAATATACGCACAAATCGGAGTTGAGCAAACTAGTTTTTTGAAACACTGTGGACTTTTTTAACGTGCTTTTCGGTAATGGAAAAGTCCGCTTGTAGTTTGCATTACTCTTTCTCCCTTTGCTGTTGGTTTCGCGCGTACCTCTTGTAAAACATTTTGGAGAAACCAGTACTTTATTCCTGCTAATAACCAAGACTAGCGACTTCCGGAAATTCCAACTCCGTCCATGGGCCTTTTCCCTTTATCGAAATCTAGGAAGTGTGTTTAAGATCTCAAAATCAACCTTTACGTCTTTCCTGGTTTCACAGAATTTAGTTTCCATGACCACCTAAACTCATTTTTTGGGTGTGTTTAAATTGGCGACCTTTCCCATGATCCCCAAAGCCACAGGGAGAACAGTCCTCTTAAATTCTTTTGATACTCGTGATGAAAGTTAGTGAAATTTGAAATACTTACATAGAACTATAACTTCTACTTTACAGCTTCTTGTATTGTTGTGACTTGTATTTGCTTTACAAGTGTAGAATCCAGCATGCTTCATGCGTACAAGGGAGAAGAATAGCTTGCTAAGAACATTACCATTGAATAACCGTTCCTCTATTTGATACAGATCATCCGTTCCATTAATAATTGATCTGTTATCTTTGAACCAGGAGAAAATATGGGCAGGAAAAGGACATTTAAGCTCCTCACCCTTGTTGCCTTTTGTAAAAACTTTTGGACTTCGGCACTGTTGTGACACCTCTGCAATGAACAGTAGAGGAAATTTAATTAGTGCGAGAGATCTCTTTGATCAACCTAACCATTCTGATCTGCCACTAAACTGTTTTCTATTTATTATTATTGTTTTTATTATGATTATCATCATTTTTGTGAAAATGATGATGATTAAAATTTGTTATAAATTATAATTGTGTCAATAACAAAGTTCTCGAATCTGATTGGTTCTCAGTAGCACTTATTTATTGCTTTTAAATCATAACTATAACAAAATTGTCAAATCTGATTGGCTGTCAACTGTCCTGATTTCAGCACTAATAGGACAGTGTAATAGGACAGTACGGGCCATCGCAAGCGCGCACTTAAATGGCTATTTTCAAGGCTAGCAAAAAAAAAAAAAAAACTCTCGGAATTTCTTTTTTTTGTTAAATTTAAAAAGCCTAAAGTATCACAAAAATTGTTATAGTTATGATTAATTGGTAACAGAACTGCGTGTCGTCCAATTCGCACTGTACCGTCAGACTCATAACAGGCCCGTAGCAGGCATAAAATGACCGGGGGGGGCTGACCGAGTGGCCCACATTAACTCCCCCCCCTGCTTCGGTCCCTCGGTTAAAGCATACTTCTTGGTACATGTCAGATCACTACATTTGTCTACAATACCTTTTGTTCTTGTCTATAATTTTCCGTTCGCTTTGACTTTGACAACATAGAGAACTTGTCTGGGGTTTCGTTCGCGGAAAATTTGCCAAATAATTGCTTTCGTTTTTCTTTCTCCCCCAACGAAGTCATTAGCTACGTCTACAAGGGTCAGAGCATCTGTTCTGTCCTTGTGAACACGCAACATCATGAGGTGGTTCAGGTGGGCTTGTCATTGGTCTGATTTCGATCCATTTTGCTTCTGACTATTTTGATGCTTAATAAGCAGATATTTTAAAGTTGTTGGTTGTTTTTGGCAGAGCAAAAATACGATTTCGTTCATTTACACAATTCGAAATAGCACAGAAGAACAACCGTACATAATCTTACAACGATCGACAATACTTTGAAACTTTAGCTTCCATTGACAGCTGCCCATTTTAGTAGAAAAATTCCACTTTTGTAGCAGAATTTGATTCAAGTCCGAAAATTTCTAGGGGGGCTCGAGCCCCCCTGCCCCTCCCCCTGCTTCGGGCCTGCATAATTAAACAAATCAGACTATTTGTCAATCAATCGTATGATTACAGACCAAATTGGACTCCACTCAGTCCTATTACCAATATTAATTTGGCGGATGCAGCACCAGAACTGTCCAATTTGACCTGTCCGATTGGAATCTCCTTCTTTAATCGGAAAGGTCAAATCGGACAGTTCAACAGCCAATGAAAATCGAGCAGCAGCGAATGTTGCTTGCCAATGTAGGTGAATCTTTGTTTACACTTAAGTCGTATACTAATGAGGAAAAATGTAAACAATGACGTCAGCAAAGATTCGTCTATAGTGTTTGAAGAATTTAGTCCATGGTAGCAAAGGGAGGTTTGATTGGAAGTTTACTACCAAGGCCTTGATTATAGTTAACCTTAACCCTGTCGAAGGTAAAATACTCCTCTACATGACCCTGTTTGCCTCGTTTCGCATACAGAACTATGTTTTTTTCTAAATTGACATCATAGAATAATATTTTGTTTAAAAAAAGTGCTCGTACCACACATGTAGACTGTAAAGTGTACACCGCCAAAGTTTACACCATGTACAAGACTTCTGGTTCATGAAGACACCTTTTTGAAGAAGCTAATAAGCAAAATTTATTATATGCCCTGTTTACGACTTTAAACCCCCAAAACCACAACCCGTTCTCTGACCCATACCCATGCCATTTAGGCCAAAAAAGGGAGTGCCTCGTCGAACTCGATGGGTTGGAATATTGTTGCTATTCCGAGCTATTGTTCAAATGATGAACTACGTAACTTGTAAATTAAGAAACCTGTCCGTGTCTCGATATTTTGAGCCAGAAATGCACTTCCCTTGTTAATTCTTTTTACTCCAATAGTAAGAAAGGTGAAAATTTCACAAAATTTTTTTTTTGAAAGATTCATAGGGCCGGGAAATAAATCACGGCACCATGCAAAAGTTTCGCCCAGAAAGAGCGTCTTCATTTGAATGGTAACAACACAGGATTTTGTCCACAGACTCAAAAGTTAGAACTACATATAAAATAAGTAATACCATGATTGTGAAAGTACTGCTGCTGAAGAGGTACAGTGAAACCTCGATATAAGTCTAGGAATAGTAAAATATTTGCACAAGGAACCTCGATACAACGAAACTCGTTATATCGAGGTTCTACGGCCAAAGGATTTCATACACAGACTTAAAAGTTAAAACTACATATAAATAAATAAATAGTACTATGCGAAAGTATTGCTGAAGAGCTTTCGGTTTGAATGGTCACAGCATAGGTTAAAGTGACAATTCAGGAACACCCAACGTCTATTTTTGGAAAATATCTCTTCGGAAGACGAGTTGATATCTAGAAGTTTCGGAACATTTGTTGTAAAATTTCTTGCTTGCGTGCCTCTCCTAGGATTTTCGAACATCTAAAAAATGGTAAAATGGCCCATTTTTAACGGATTTTTACCCTAAAAAGGTCACCTAGAATTTTCGGAAGCTTTTTTTCTGGCTGAAATTTTCAAATAGGTAAGTTTTAACCCCTATAATTTTCGGATCACTAGACTTTCAGCTAGGAAATCCGAACAGATAAAAAAATTGTTAGGGGATAAAAATATCCCTATTTCTTCCGTTTAAATACTGAAATACGTTCAACAATGCTATGTTTAAGTGGTTTTGAACTATATTCTCGATGTGTGCCCCTGACAATTGGCTAAAACACTCTTGCTTAACTGACACGCAAGGGTTTTAAAAACTCTTTTAGTTCCGCGGTGAATATATAGCCAAAGTAAAGTTATCAAATGTTCCAGCTGCTCTTTATAACCAAATAATGCTAGTCTAATGCTTTTCGGAAAATGCAAAGTCTTTTAAAGTGAACTAATTTCCACGGGCCATGCCGGCCGAAAAGTAATTTTTAGCGAGGCACTTAGAAGATTAATTGAAATCCGATCATCAACCGTCTGAACATAACCCATGGCCAACTTAACTAAAGTCTTACAGTACCGTATTTCCTCGAATAATAGCCGTCCCTCCATTAATAACCTTCCTCGAATAATCGCCCCCTTAGACGGAAATGTTTAAACCAATCGCCTCTCTCGAATAATCGCCCCCCCCGCGCAACACACACACACACACCTTCTCGCTATTGTCATCTTCTCTTTCTCAGTATCCCCCCCCTGTCAAGTATAAGTGGAGTCTGATGCGGCAAAACTCATCAGTGACGATTCAAGCTCTGATTTCAAGGCTATTGACCTTGAAAACTAATCAAGGAACCAAATTTGGAGCTCTAAAAAAGCCCAGGTCTAGTTTATTTGATGTCATCATTTTTTAAATGAATGGAAAAATAAAACAAAATATTTAGGGAACGACTTCCGGTGAGCAATGTTTAAATAATCGCCTCCCTCCAATAATCGCTCCCTTTTTGTGCGAAAAAAAAAATAATAATAATGGCCTCCGGCTGTTATTCGAGGAAAATTTCGGTGGTCAATGTCAACTGATAAATTGACCAACAAAGATTATCGAGGCGGCTGCAGGTGTCCTTTCTGAGTGATGTCGGATGTTTAGTCTACTTTCATTGTGATAATTTGAGACAAATGGTGAATTTGTTTTGATAAAGCAAGTATTTGTGTTATATGCCTCGACACTTAGAAATCAGAAAAAATTAATACATCTACGACAGTAGACGGTGAATAATATTCCTTTGCATCTACCTTTGAAATAGAAATCAGCCAAGATATTTCCTTTTTTAAAAAAGTTCGGCTACAGTTCCCAAGGTGGATATTGCAGTCAAGTTCCGTTTTTACCCTAGTTTGAAATTAATATGTTAAAAGCGAACGTGTGGGTCAATTCGTAAGGCCAAAAATTGTTTGTTCCCACCCGTAGAGAGAGTTTGTGGGCACAAGAAAAAACGGGCGCGCGAGAAGAAGACACGTGTCGCGTTTCTCCCTCGCACGCTCCCGTTCTCTCTTTCACCCACTACTTCCAAGCGCCTGCTACGCAGGCTAGAGTGTGATAGCATTTTGAAGTGAAAAAAAGTTGAGAAAAAAATCATAGATTAATATCGCTTAATCTTGTTTATCTTCCATGGTCTGCTGCTTAAACTTTTCCTCAGAATACTTAAAAAATGAAACTACTGCTCATGTCGTTGTTTAGAGTTGGGTGCGTTGCCTTGAATAAAGGATCGGGGGGAGGGACTCGGCATATGAAAGGGGTGGGGATGCTTGTCGTCTCACTTAGGGTGTTCTGGGCAAAACGCCATCATATTTAGCAGTGAAGGTCTCGTTTAGGGTTGCACGCGAAAAAATATAAAAATATATATGTGATATGTATATATTTTTTTTTATCTCTTTTAGGGGTCAAAAAAAAGCTTGGGCCAGGCCCAAATCGGTCTCCTTCAGGGGTTTAATTCAAAATTTCTGACGAGCATCCCCACCCCTTTAATATGTGGAGTCCTCCCCCCCACCGGGTAAAGGATCACCAACTGCATGGAAAAGGCGCAAAGAGTGGAGCAGTTTACCATTGAGCTTCTGGGTGTTGCCAACGCGCATTTTAGTGGCCAATGAATTTACTCCTTGACGCAAACCCACACAACTTTCAGCCGTTGACGAAAAAAAAGCAGATGAATACCTTGCCTTGTGTTTGCTAAACGGAACTTTTGTCAAAGAGGTTACTTGCGATAATTTTCATCTAGAAAATTGCAGGGGACTCGAATGGTTCGGATGGTTCACAAGTTTTTTCAGACGATTTAGGCAAACTTAACGCTACTTTTCTAGGCTGGAGGCGTGGGAAGGACTACTAACTACAAAATAAACGGTAAATTGTGGAATCATGATGTGCGGTGTTAACAGCCAAGTGGGTTTTATCCCTCAAGGAAAGACGGTAGAGGGGGGCGTGAGAAGGAAGCTGAGCGTCATCAGGCCAAAAAAATTGCAGTATTTGATTTCATCATTTAAAGCTAAGTTGCACGCAATCTCTCAATTGGGTAACATCTTGCGTGGCTCACTCGCGCGACACACCTCTACTAAGACTTCGACGAGTTTATTGAGTACATTTTCGCGCGTGTCACTAGATCACCTGCCCTCTTAAGAGTTGGTTTCAAAAGGGAAGTGAAAGTGTGATGGGCTGACTATGTGTGGAGGAAAAAACCAGCAATTTCCAGTGGAGCTATTTGTTTTGCTGTGGAACTGATATCAGGGGCACCCAACGAGGATATAGTTCAAAACCACTTAACATAGCATTGTTAAACGTACTTTAGTATTTAAACGGTAGATATAGGCATATTTTTGTCCCCTAAAAACTTTTCATCTGTTCGGATTTCCTAGCTGAAAGTCTAGTGATCCGAAAATTATAGGGATCAAAACTTACCTTTTCGAAAATTTCAGCCAGGAAAAGGCTCCCGAAAATTCTAGGTGGCCTTTTTTAGGGTAAATTTCCGTTTAAAATGGGTAATTATACCATTTTGTAGATGTTCGAAAATCCTAGGAGAGGCAGGCAAGCAAGAAATTTTACAACAAATGTTCCGAAAATTCTAGTTCTAAAATCGTCTTCCGAACAGATATTTTCCCGAAAATTGCCGTTGGGTGCCCCTATGATATTTATTTTCTGGTCTTCAAGTTATTAGTATTTACTAAAAACCTCCAAGGAAGTCCATTAGTTTCTACCGATCAGTCCACAGAGCAAAGTTAATAAGCTGCGCTTGCTTTTCAGTCGCCGCGCTTGTCTGAAGAAAACAAATCAACTTACAATGTTGGAACTAAGACCTTACCTGCGCCGCTAAAATCGAGGAAGAGAACACAAGCGATGAAACTCCTTACCGAGGAAAGATGCGTCATTGTGTAGCAGAACTTCTGAAGTCGCCGGCGGCAACTTCATATATCTCCAGCAATTTGTCGGTAACCCTTACATTGTTCTCGACTTAAGTTATGCACCTTTTAGCTCGCTCTTAGTCTTTATGATTACCCGAACTTCTTTGGTTGATTTAATTCAATAGCTTGATCACGTCTCCGCAGGAGGACAGGACAAATTTACAATTTAAAGTTTGATTGCCTTATTTCCCACAGCCTAGAATTTAAAATTTGAGAAATGATAATTTCGATTCAGCCGACGGTTTTTTCCGTTGTCAACTCTTCAACAGTTTACTAACCGTCGGCACATGCTTTGCAATGCAGATATTTTTACTTTTTTCATGAAGGTTACATGGCCCGGAAAACGACATTGTGACAACTCATATTCAGGTCAGGCCTCATAATCATGAATAAATTACATTCAATCGGAAGAGAAGTTTAAAAACATAATTTTTTTTATGCTGTGCCCTTTACCCCCTGGGGAAACTCCTATGCAAATGACGGGGTTCTCTTCGTCTCGCATAGGAATAAAAATTACAGATTCATGCTCTCACTAAGGGTATTCACAAAGGTAGAAAGGTAAAGGAACCATGCGCTCATTGAAGCCTCTCACTCCACCAGTGGTCCGTTTAAGGGTATTTTAAAACTAGTTAAAGATAAGAGGAAAGAAATTGAAACATGAATGTGATGCCACCGGGGATCGAGCTCGGACCTCGCGAACCGAAGGCTGCACTCTAAACAAAAGTGCCATCATTGCTCTTAACCTTATCGTTTAGTGTTGTGCGTAAAGAAGGACATAAAGAAAGGCATATCACATAAAGCGTGAGCCAAGCCCAGTTTGGGTTTAGGGATTTATTCTTCGTTTTCTGACGAGCAAACCCGTCATTTTCATGCGAGAATGCCTTCGGTGCCCTTGAATGTCAACGAAACATGTGAAATTTTACCGGGGGCGTCCCTTATGTCTAGGTTTGTTCGACGCCAAAGAGTACGGTTTTGATCCCTTAAACATGTTGAGTGTGGTACCCGATCTTTCAGTTGTACTGAGACCTAGGTGGAACGAGTGCAAACAGTTTTTATGCAAAATGTATGTAAACGGCAAACTGATCCAGAAGTAAAGCGATGAAGAAGTCAACACAATAGTATAACAAATTAGAATATATATATATATTTTAACAAATTTATCCAATATTTTCGGTTTGGAAGACAAAACTTCAGTTGAGGAGATAAAAGGAAACGAAAAAGAAAACTGAAGGATCTAGTATATTGACCGTTTGGTTTTGAATTGGGTAGTGCTTTCGAGTCTAGAACCAGAGTCTAATGTAAGGGTGTGTTGGTTTTAAAAAATTCGTTTCTTGAGAACTATGATTCAGGTGGGATATTGGGTAAGGATAAAGGGACGAGAATCCCGCACAAGCCGCCCCCCCCCGCCCAACTGACCTTGAATTTCCTAGATTTGCGGTACTATCACACCTGGTACATAGTCTCCCCAAAACCGAATAAGATTTTAACATTTGTTGTGAACTTCTATTCGAGCTCGTTGTGTTGAAAGGCTCCGTAGTCATCATGTCTTTCATCTAAACAAACGATTCGGAACGACGGTTCAATCGCAGTCATCAGCACGACTGTGCAACGAGAAGATCAATGACTTCTAAACGGTCATTTGCAGTTTATTTACGATTGCGGATAAGGACACATTGTCATGTAAATGTAAAACTCTTAGATCAAATTTGGATGTCGTCTAATCTTTACTTTATTACGTTCGGAAGCCTTTAAGCAAATTTGCTGGCTATAAATCAAGTCTGCAAAGAGATCCAAACTGATGTGTAAGGAAAATAAAGCGATCAAATGGCACGAAACATAAGACGCAATTTTGTCTGTCGTGGTCGTAGTAGGCGCTAGTTTAGACTTTTTTCAAAGGTCATTCACCTACATTTAAACAAGTCTTACATCAGGTCCCCCCCCGTCTTGCATTAATGTGTGAAAAGAATACATGAAAGTATAAGAAAGGAGAAAAAAGAGGGATTGCCGTAGAAATCTTCAGAATCAATTTCAGTCGGCAGAGTAGAGCATAGGGAGGTGAAATTGGCTTCATCTCCCCCCCCCCCCGCAAGTGCTCTCTATCTACTGTCACTTAGTAGCCTACGTGTAGCCGCACCCAAAGGAAAAGCGGGCCGGGAGGAGAGTGTGTCTACACATAGGCTATCACTTAAAAGAAAAATATTGCCCGGAGTTTACGAGTCAGCGCGGCAAGCAATTTAATATTGGGTCAGAGAAATTGATACAAACTGTAAAAACTGCTGAAGACTGAGGCCTGGCTACAAAATCCCAAATTAAATCGCAGACAGTGTGATTTTTTGAGTGGACAATTATGCGGCTTTTCCCCTAGTACACCGAGTTTTAAAGTCTGCCTAGACCTGCACTAGTGAAAAATTAAGAAATGGTAAACGTGCAGCGTGCAACCATGGAGTTATGGATGCACGCGGGAGGTTGCTAAGCACGAAAGAAGCGTAAGAGTCGCACGAGGCGATAGCCGAGTGCGACTCTAGCTTCTTGAGTGCTTAGCAAACCTCCCAAGTGCATCCATAACTCCATGGTTGCACAGCTACAACGTTTACCATTTCTTTTATAACATAATCAAAAGAGAAAAACATTGTTTTCCATTTGCCTTCAGTTGAGTCATCGGTCGGAGTTCATGTATGCTGCCATCTGCCCGCGCGTAAACAAATCATGTTCTATGTTTTTCAAAAACTTGCCTTTGAGTTTTTCTTTCGCTGAATCAGCCGTTCTCCGTCCTCAGGTAGATTGCAAAACGTTTTTTGTTGTTATTGTGAATGGCATCTGTCTACTTGCTCTTAATATTAGGGTGAAAACTTTGAGGGAAAACTATATCTGCAACTATAAACACCAACTAAAAAGACTCTAAAAAATAAGCTAAAACTAAATAAATGAAATAATTATCAAGCTTATTTATGTGACAATTTTTGAAATAAACGTAAAGTAGAAATGAGAAAATTTGACAGTAATTCCTTTAGAATAACAGGTAACACTAATTTTAAAAAGAAATTAACTAGCTTTGTATCGAAATCTGTCTGGGGAAATCCAGCTATGAAAGTCAACTGAAATTCGCCGACACACAGCCGGCGCTGAAGCTGTTGTTTTTCGACTGTTCCCTGAACGACTGTTATAAATGAACACTGAGAAACAAAATAATACACACAGAAGTTATTTTTTGAAAAATTTATTTGAAAACCCAAATGTTTCTGTACTCAAATGAAATTCGCTTATTCCAGCGTTATGTGCCCGTTTAAACTCAACTAAAATTGTTTATCGATGCGATGAAAACTTCACAACAAAGCTGTCTCGAATTTGAGCGTGTTTCCTAAAATATTTGCTTGAATTTAGCATCAGCTTGACCAAAAAGTCAATAACACAATGGTAATTGATAAATTTACATTTCAAACAGACTTTCTCTTCTATAAAAAAACACACAAAATGTACCTTAAATCTTCGCTCGCTCGATTTTCCTCCAGCCGATTCTAGCCGCGAGGAAAACAGTGATTAATTCATCCAGGGCAAATTTGTCGCTTGATCTTTTGTCTTTTTTCCTTCAAAACGACAGCTTAGTATTTTCTTCACCTTCCACTTTTCATCTGTGCATTTCATCGGTGTATTTTACCGTCAGGAGAGGAGATTTGTTGAATTTGCCTAAATTTTACCGCGCTAGCTCAGTTTCTTAGCGTGCACCCACGGGCAAATGGTAGTGGCTAACTGACCAATCAGAGCGCGCGATTTACTTTTGTTATGTTATAATGGGCATTGGTGGGCCCGTGAACATGTAGCCTGCGTAGCAAGCGTTTCCAATCGAGTTATCCTCCGTTCCCCTCCCCCTCCCCCGTCATTCATTTTTTTTTGCTCCTGTCTTGTCCCAGCTTTCTAGACGAACCTCGCGAGGAAACGCTTGCTGCGCAGGCTATTGAACATGACTTTTGCTTCATGTTTTAACTTTGCTCGTGCCATTTGTTCGTGTTCTGTGGCTGATTATACTTTGGAAAAAAAATGATTTTTTCCGTGTTTTTGTTAACGTCTTTTACATTAGGAGGTCATGTAGGTGTTTGGTTGACTGTGCCGTTTTGGACTGTCCACATAGCCTCTACGATATGCAAGTGTGCGTTTTCGTTGCGTTTTGATCCACTTTCAAGAGCGTTTTCAAAAACGGTCCGCGTATTAGTGTGGACGGACTGGCCAAAACGCATCGAAATGAACGCTTTTTTCAACGAAGCGCAGTAGCGTGGACAGGGCCTTTAAACCCTTTGACGACGGATTGCTTTGGTCGTTTTCGTTCCATATTGAACGATGCCTATTTTCCTGCCTAGACCCATTTGGCTTTCAGTTTAGTAACAAGTTGGTAATACCTAGTTTTGAATATTCTGCCCAATCCTTTGTGAGTTACAATCACCAAAAATTTTTGGGGAAAATCTCCACAGCTAATTTCGCTGTTTATCTACTACTCTTTGAAGTTTTAATTGGTCCCCTTACTGAATAGCTAGCCAGCTACAATTCGATGCAAAAGAAGGACGGTAAACTGGGCAACAAAACTATTTTTAAAGAAGACCTTACGAAAAAATAACTTTTATAAAAGAACAAGTCCAAATTTTAGGTTATGCGATGCGCATGCACGAATAACAAATTACATATCCGGATTAGGCGTAAAATATGCCCTTTTCGATTTTTAGCCATTTTTATGCTAATTAGCCAAAAACCAGTCCAAAAATAAAGAATGGGCCGTCACCAAAGGGTTAAACTCCATATTTGATAATAATATGAAATAATATGAAAGTGTACATGCTCTGACAAAGAGTGCCAGTCTTTCAATTTTATTTCAGTAAAAGTTAAAAAAAAAATCAAATAAAATGAGTGAACAAATATCAAAAAGTTAATATTTCAACGAATTCTAATTCTCATTTATTATCATCATCACATAGCCAGAA